TTTGTCCTGGAGAGGGTGAAGCCAGAATGCTCCTTGGAGTCAAGGATTCTGAAGCTTTGTCTGACATACTTTGGGCATGTTGCAAGGAGGGACTGGTCTTTGGGAGAGTGGAGGGGACGGGGCAGGAGAGGAAGACCTTTGATGAGATGTATCGATTCTGAGTGGAGTGGTGGGAATGAGTGTGTTTGAGACAGCAAGGTTGGCACAGGATAGAACGGCGTTTAGGGCTCTTGTGCGTAGAGTTGCTATGAGTCGCAAGCGATTCAATGGCACATAAAAACAGCTACAACTTGATACCGAAAGGAAAACAACCTCAGTGAGCAAACATGCTAAAGAAGAAAAACAGTGTAGTAGGAGGCCTCCCACTTCCTGATCTGAAAACCTGCTACACAGCCACAGCAGTCAGACAGCTTGGTACTGTATGTATGTAACTATATGTAACCACCGGAATAGAATTGATAACTCAGAAATAACCCCATCCACCCATGGACAGATTTTCTGACATAGATATGAACTCCATTTAGTGAGGAAATGACAGCCTCTTTCTCAAATAGTTGGATATTTGTAGGCCATTGAAACAAGACTGATACTTCACACCAGATACAAAACCAACTCAAGGTGGACCAAGGACCTTGGTGTACAAAGGTCACCAAAGAAAAAATTGGGGCAGATTTAGGAGCCTTAATTTATAGCACAAATAAACTATCAAATATAACTGAAAATGTACAACCAAAAATAAACAATTGTGACTTCCTACAAATTAAATCCTTATATATAGTAGGTATATATATGAAAGAGATGAGCTACAACACAAAATGACATAAATCTATGTTGATTGCAGCATTATTTGTAATAGCAAAGATTTGGAAACAAGCGAAGGTGCCTATCAGTAGATGAATGATGAAATAGTGTGGTATATACCCACAATGAAGTATTCATTACTAAAAGATGAAAGAATTTGTGAAATACTGTGTAACATGGATGAAATTAGGGCACATATATAACCTTGCTCAAAATAATTTGTTGAACTATGTTTATTGATCTCTATGGTACTGATAGAAAGGTTATCAGTACCATATTTAGTTATTATTGCATAATTAGTTGGTTGTTATTCTTAGATATTTAGGTTATTTCAAATTCTGTATTATTAAGAGTGTTAAATTGTCCCTTATATGGGTAATTGATATTTCTAACTTTTACAGGGTAATACATTATATTGAGGTACACTTGCTGCAGAGGCGGCACTGTAGCAGTTAATATGAACTTTCTATCATTTAGGTCAAAATATGAATTTGTAGGGTGCAAGAAAAATTTTTTAATCTGAAAATAATAAAACAAGCTAAAAAGTTCTCAATGAAATAAGAATTGATGACTGAAAAGGTACTTTGTGAGAAATATTTTTTATTGATGCAGTACTTTTTTTTTTTTTTATGCAGTACATTCTTACACAACCAATTTATCTTTTGGGAAATACTTGGCATTGATCTCACTTTGTGTTTGGTTTTGTCTTTACAGTGAAGCCTGCCTACAATTTTCACAAATCTGTATCCTTTTAAAAAAAATTATTTTAAATACATTTTAGTAGAAGATTTGCCTTTCTTTGATTAATTTGTGACATTTAAAAAGATTTGAGGTGTTATATTGTAGTAAATGGAAACAGTTTTTTTAATTGTGAATACCTGAAAAGCCTTGTAGAGGAGATTGGTTTGAATGTTAGTTCTGTTGTTGTGTACCATGGAATGGGAAGCAGCTGACCCACTAGCAGGTTTTCAGAGGTATTTAATCACATAGGAGATTGTCCTTCTTTCTCCTAGAGCAGCTGGTGGATTTGAACTACATATCTTTGCATGCGTAGTGTAATTCTTTAACACTAACCACCAGAGCTCTCTTTGAATGTTAGTAGTAGCTAACAAGAGTAGCTGGCAATGGGCAGCTGGTAGCACAATAGAGTTAGAAGGAATTGTGGTGTATGGAGATACAGTGGATTATTGTATGCTCACATGTGCTATAGAAAGAAATCATGTCATAAGTCACCACTCTCCATGTATAATGATAGATGGATTTATTTCTTAAATGCCTTAGATTATGATACTGTAAAATTTTTAATAACATTTTTTATTTTGTGATTTTTAACAAGTTTACAGAAAAGTTAGATTTTTATTTATTCATTGTTGCACATTTTATCGCCTCTCCCTTTTCCCTCCCCAAGTTGACTTTTTCTTAATACTAGTTTATTTATAAAATTTGAATGAACACATTGTTTTCGAGAACAGATTCTTCAAATTTGTTTTGCTTTCAATAGTGTTTCATAAAATTACCTCTGTTTCATGTGAATTGTTAAGACTTAATTCAACTATACAGATCCTGTAGTATGTGTCCCATCCAGTTTCTTTATTGGAGACAGTGGAATTCCCTTGGAAGTAATAGCAGGAAGTGTTTCTGCTGATGAACTTGTTACTAGAATTCACAAAGTTCAGCAGGTGAGAAGGAATGGAACTCTTCTTTGCATAAACATGGGGAAAAATGTTAGATGTTTAATATTGTAATATTTTGGGGCTTTCTTTATTTTTAGGAACTTGCTGTATTGTGAAACTGAAGAAGTCAATAATACTATTGGACTGGTTTTGAAAACAGTCCTTTGAAGTTAGAGGTGTCTGTGCCTAATACTTCTGCTTTTAAATCTCTCTTTGCTTTCTCGCCACAAGTCCATAATATACATCATCATAAGCAGTTCCTAGATTCTGAATAGTTTCATTTTTAACTTAGTATTTAAGTGAAATTTGTAGATAAGACAGCTTTGACAATAAGCTACTTGTATATAAGCCAAACTTGTCTTTGTATATGGTGTATTTTTCATAAAAAATTAAATGTCTATAGATATATTAAAACAGCTTTAACATAATAATGTTTTTCTTTGTATCACCCTTTTGTGATTATGAGCCATTGTATGTACCTTGAATTTTTAATAGGCTTTATGGGGTTGGTTTGGGATTATAGGAGCAGTTGTACATAAACCAGACATTTGTAACTGGAGACTACTTGTATTTTAATTATAAAGGAAAAAATTGTCCTGTTAGGATGCAAACAGTGTATTACTCTTCATAATTTTAAGGACCTTAACATTCAGTAATTTTTAACTTTTTTTTTAATTTTACTATTTTTTGTGTGTGTACCAACAAATCATATCTGGAGGAGATTGCCCCTTCTTCTCCAGCAGAGCATCTGTTCTGGATTCAAACCACATTCCTCTGGGATTGCAGTGCCAGTAATTTTTAATTTTATCTATTTCTGATGGAAAGAGTGTTAGGCTGGTAACTAATACAGTGTATACTGTTTCTTTGAATTTGATTATGAAAAAAACTCCAACAGTGTCCTTGAATCTTTTTATGCTCCCACCTGCTTGTATATAAATAATGCAATGTTATGTTTAGCATTATATGTTTACATGCAGAGATTTTAGTACTTCTCTGTACTGCAGAGTATAAATTGATTTAGCTTATATTTTGAATTACTATGTCATGGTATGGTTAGGTTCTTCTCTATTAATTCCAATTTCTTTTTCCCTAGATGCACTCACTAAAAGTTGAGACATCATTTGCAAATGGGAGCCAGTCAGAGAGTTCAGTTTCTACTCCATCCACTTCATTTGAAACTAACAACACTTCTGAAAACTCTCAGTCCAGAAATTCCACATTATGTGAGACCCCACCCACTCCTCCTGATGCAAAGTCAGATATTACAACAGGTATTTTTCTTTTGTATTTTATTATGCTGAAATAGGTATATGAACAAAACATATGCCATCATTCGTTTTGAGAATTTGCCTTTTCAATTTTACATATTTAATTCCGTGACCTTTCATTACATTTCTATGTTCACCGCTGACCACAGTCTCCTAATAGCAGTTCCATGTCCCTTAAAGCAGTAACTCTGCATTTCACCCCCCCCACCTAACCCCCTCCCACTAGTAAACTTTGGTCTTTGTTTTTGTTTGCTCTATTTATAAGAGGGATCTTGCAATATCCCCTTCTGTGTGTTCAGAGTTTATTCTTGTCAGATCATGTGTTTAGCTTTATGACTAAATGTTAAGACAGCAAGGGTTGCTTGAGAGCGACCATATCTGACCTCTGTCAGCTCCACAGTGGGAAATTGTCCCTGTCAACAACAACATGAACAGCCCAGTAAGTCAGGTTGGCAGCAAGATAAAATCACTCAAGGGAACTTCCAAAATGTGCTCACAGGCACTTTAGCTTCTGCCTACGCTTTTGGTGCAGCCAGTTATGGTTCTCGCTGTCCTCCAACAAACACTGGTAAAGGCTCTTAGCTTAACTCTGGTTCTGTGGAATAGAAGTCCCAAGGTCAGCTCTGTTTCATGATCAGTTTCTTGTTTCAACCATGGCTACTGCTTCTGTAGGCCTAGCTGGCACAAGAATCTGCAGTTTGAAGGAGGTACTGCTGTATCCCTACTGGTGCTTTGCTGATGGTGAGATTCTCAAAAAATCTGCCCCTGAATCTGCTCAGTTTAGAGGTGAGACTAGCTGTTCTCATTGTGGATGGGCCATCGCACCCTATTTACATATTCTTTTTTTTTAATATCTTTTTTTTTTTTAAATTATTTTTGTGTGTGTGTACCGTCAAATCAGATCTGACTGGTACAGGAGGAGATTGTCCCTCCTTCCCCTGCAGAGCATCTGGTGGATTCGAACCATGCGCCTCTGGGATTGTAGTTGCAGCTCCTTGCCACTAGGCCACCAGAGCTCCCCTACCTATTTACATATTCTTGCCCATCTACATGGCAGTCAAAATCAGTGTCTCGGAAGGCTATACTGAACAATAAATCCATAACACCATATTGAATTAACACTTCATATTATGTATGTACTATATTTGTCCATCTATTGATGGACATTTGGGCTGTTTCCGCCTTTTTTGGCCATTGTGAATAATAATGCCATGTCCCCTGTTGGGTATAGTAGACAACTCCTGCACTTCATTTTAAAATACAAGCCATTGGTAAATAAATATTGTTCATATTTTTTCTTAGATTGATTCAATTTAAAAGTTAGGGATTATCATTTAGGTCAGAATAGGAGGCATTCAAGGAATACACCTAAATAGTCAACAGTACAGAACAGGTAATGAGTAATTTCTACAACTTTACTGTTACTCCAGGAATGTTATATGATACACCACATCTTTATGTATCTCTTCTTAGCCTACCTCAGAACATTTTAAAGGTTCAGGTGAACGAATGAATTTGTAATTGTTTTTGTAAACTATATGCACACATTTGTGTTGGCATTTATTTTAATTGGAATTTAAAAGAGAAGTATAAAATTGAACTTCGCAAAATAATAGGTGTGACTGCAAGCATAATTACATGAAAAAGACCAAAGTTTATTATGTGGTGGAGATGCAGCCAGAGATTTTTAAGCAACATAGCCCTTGTATGGCTTGTACTCCTCTACTACTGCTAACTCATCCTAATTAGCACTTCACATTGAAGATTTATTGGAATTATAGTCAAGAAAAATGTGTGAAGCGGCTTTACTGTGTATAGTACAGGGGGTTTCTGTGAGTTGGAGTAGACTCATTAGTAATAGGTTTGGTTTTGATTTGTTAAAGCAGCATTGAATTAGATAAATGAAAAAAACTATACGAAGGGTGATTGCACTCTAGCATCTCTGACAAATAGTTACCAAGCCTTTGATTTACTATATTTAATGATGGAAGCTCATTATCTTGCTAGGAAACTTGTTCTGTTGTTTAAATACCTGTAGTTTGTTGGTGTGTTTGGTTTTTTTTTTTTTTTAATTTTTTATTATTTGTGTGTGGGTACCATCAAATCAGCTCTGACTGGTACAGGAGGAGATTGTCCCTCCTTCCCCAGTAGAGTATCTGGTGGATTCAAACCATGTACCTCTGGGATTGCAGTGCAACTTGCCACTAGGCCACCAGAGCTTCCCTACCTGTAGTTTTTAGAAAAAAATTATATTGAATTAAAATTTAATGTCTTATTACTTCCCATCAGCTTTAAGTTAATGCTGCTTTCTGAATTTACACATGGCAAAGTGTTTGAATATAGTTTTCAGGTTCCCTTGGTGTCATTTTGAAATTTTGTATCATTAGATCATTTAAATTCTGAGTGCATTGAGAACAAGGAAATTAAGTTATGGATCTGATTCATATAGGTTTACAGAGAATCATGACCTTTCACATATGTTTGCCTGCATATTTGTTATTTTCAGAATTCTTCATTTCTTCCTGAAGTATCTTTGCACTTCAGCTTGAATATTTTCTTTTAGCATTTCTTAATTGTGCCATTCCATTAGCAAAGCATTTTCTTAGTTTTATATGAAAATGTCTTTGTTTAATCATATTTTATATAAAGATATTCTTGCTTTATGAAAATTTGGGGTTGGCAGGTATTTTTTATTTCAGTACTTTTAAAGATACTGTTCCATTTGTTTTCTTCATAATGTTCAGATGTGAAGTCCATGGTCATTCAGTCATTCCTTGCCCCTAATCTGGAATCAGCTGTTTTTATCTGACCACTTACAGGTTTTACTTTTGTTGTTGTTGTTGTTTTATCTCTGACCTTTATCTTGGTAGCCCTTAATGATGTAACTATCACATTTGCCATTCATACACTCCTTTATCCAGATCCAAACTTTAAAATTAAAGTGTGATGTTTGGTATATTATTTGACACTACAGTCATAGTTTGGTTAATTGGTAAGTTTGATTTGGTATTTGAGGGGCTTGTATTAAGTGATGTAGAGGATGTCTTAATTGAGAGTGGGGTCAGTGGGTTGATTTGAGATGATTATATTGGGGTTTCATTTTTGTGTAGTTATGGAAGTTGAGTAATATTAATTAGTCAGTGAGTGTATTTTTGTTTTTATTGAGATTACTTCAGGGTTTAGAGGATTAGGAGATTTTCTGAAATAAGTGTAATAAGGAACGAGAGGAAGTAGAGTTTGATTAATCCTTTTTGGTCAGAAAGATTGGTTGATGCTGTTTTTTGGATGGTGGAGGTGTTTTTGGGAATAACCTTTTTTGGGGGGGGAGTAATCTTTTCTAATCCTAGTAGATCGAGGATGGTTGATGTTAGTTTGAGGCTTGTATCCTAGTAGATTTGAGAATTTATGGGTGTCAGAAAATGATTTAAATTTAAGGTTGAGAGTCACAGAGTTAAGTTCAATGACAAAACTGTTGTTTTCATTAATGAGGATTAGGGCAAAGTGCCTTGATTGTAATAGTAGGATGAAGAAGATGATGCGTGTATTGTATATAGCTCTTATTGATGTTGCTACCAAGGTAATTATGATGGCTCAGGCATTGATGTGGGGTAGGTTGATGGCTTCAATAAGGAGGTCTTTGGCGTAAACCCAAGGAATGGCATACCTGTTAGGGCTAGGTGACTAATGGTTAAGGCAGAGGTGGTGAATGGTAAGGATTGAAATAGGCTCCTTTTTAAAAAAATTTTTTTTACATTAAAAAAAATTTTTTTTCCCCCCCAGCTTTTTATTGGCAGCTGTGGGGAGCCCTTCATCATCGATGGTGCTCAGAGTTTCTTCAGCCACTCCAGGCTGGGACCCTGGGGTTCCTGGGGACTGGCTGGGCATGTCAGGCATGTTCTTATGTTGGAAGGGCACTTGGTAGCTGTAGGGGATGGCCTCATTGGTCATGATGGCATACTTGGTGTAGGGTCTTAACAGGGCCAGAATTATAGTGAGGCCTGTGATGGTGAAAGACATGATCAGCACTGGTTCCTGGGCCAGACATTCTTGAGGAAGGCAGCAAGTCTGGTCCTCATGTTGGCCTCAGTGGCGGCTGCTTAAATTTTTTTTTTTCAATTTTAATGAAAAGTTACAGACACTTTGGATTTACATTGTTGCAGACTTTCCTCTTTGCCCACCCCTCCCCCCCAGGTTCATTTCTTATCTCTAGTTTTATTTTTAGGGAAAATATGTTTAAGAAAAAAGATTATTACCAAATGTTAAAACCAAGAAGATTCTATCTTTCAATAATTAATGAAAACCTCTGTCTTCTTTTAATTTAATTTAAATGCAGGAGGAGAATGTTCAGATCACGCCACTGCTTCTCCTGAGCCTAGTGGGTGCTTAAGTCCAAGGCCTGCAGAGGACCTCACCGTTAGAGTGGAAAGGTTTGCTATTCATTTTTCATTTTTGTTAAAAAGAATGTTTCCATTACTTCATTTATTTTAATAAAAGATAAAATTACTCATATGAACTTTTAAAATTCTGTATTGTAATATTTCCTGGCAGTAAAGCTTTTCTGTGTCCCTGAGAGGGGATGACTGTTGGTCAGCTAGAATCCTCCTTTTCACTGATGCTTTGGTATGTTTGTCTTTCCATCTGTTACCACTGCTTATAGCTCTCTGTCAAACTCAGAATTCAAACTCACTGCACTCAAAATGGTTCCAGCTCAACAATGACCCTCCATTGGGTTTCTGAGGCTGAAACTTGTTACAGGAGGAAACCGTCCTTTTTTTTCTTCCTTAGTGTGATTCGTGGGTTCAAGCTGCTAGAAACACTTGACTTTTCGATCATTAGTGCAATTCTCTGTGAACTACACCACAGAAACTCCTTTATCTGTCTCTGCCACAGAATAAAAAGCTACATGCAGCTAAAGGCTTCAGGTGATTTTGACTGTATGCAGAGCCTCAAGTCTAAGTGGGTGTGTACTAAGTGTCATTTTTATTAGTTCTAATACTCAACTGCAGATTTCTGACTTTTGTTCCTAGCTTAATATTATTATAAGGTAATTATCAAATCAGTGTTTTCACTATGAATCTCAAAATATGAACTGTGAATAGTTAATGAGTAATTAGGATATTTTTTATGCTGATTTCAGACATTAGTGTCATGGAAGTTTGAAAAATTTCTCTTTGAAGGTTTTAAAAATATGGGAAACCTTTTGGAGACTTGATATTTTCTTTTTCACAGAGATACTTTGAGGAACCAGAGTTCAAAATGATTGCTGACATTGAGTCTGTGGGTTCACCCATGGCTAAAGCTCAGCTTCATTTTAGGAAAATCAATACACTGTAGTTCTGTACATTCTTTACAGGAGTTAGGGCAGGGCCAGGCCTGTGAGGAGGACAGCTGGATGGATCCTCTCACACTGGTGAGGAAACAGCCTAAAATGAGAATAGGAGGAGGGAACTACGGGCTTCGGGGGCTCGTCCTCTTTAGTTTCTCCCTGTTTTGTTTATGCCAGGCCCACCACGCTATTCCTGCTTGTACTGCCCTTCGATGAAATAAAAACTGTAATTTTGGGGAAGGTTTTGGAGACTTAAAGGAAGGGGAGAAGAAATACCTCAAGTAGCAGTAACAGCTTTATTGGGTGGGGTGGACTCAGGCCAACTGTTATGCTAACACTACAGCCCAACCTCTGGCTTCTTTTAGCCATTACTTCTCATTATCTGAAGGATCAGCCTTCCCCTCACCATCATCTTTATTTAGGGAAATATGTAAGCCATGTGCTTTACTTTTTATGTCATAATGCCCCCCTCCCATTTTAGGTAGCCAATTTAAAATTTACCCAATCTTATAAAACCAGTACTCTGATAAAATAATCATGTCTTTTTCTCCAAAGAATCTTCCATTACCGTTCAGAGTAAATCATCAAACCACAGCAATTAACACTAATTCTCAAAATGAAACATCTTTTCTTCATCTGGTTGGGTCCTCATCCCCATCCTCAGCCACCCACGGTTACGTGTCAGCTGCCACCTTGTGAGTCTACAAATTTTCCTGTTTCAGACCTGCTGGTCCCCTCACTTGACTTTAGCCCCACATGGGCCAAGTCAGTATATTGGGGATTTCCAGGACTCCTTACTCCATAAACCAGTAACCCTTCTTCATTTATCCATTCCTCATGCTAGGTGGTCATTGCTGAAGGAGTAAGTCCAAACTCCAACTGTGTTATCCTTAACTGCCTATATCCCACTTCCACTCATCACGTGGATGCAGGTGGTCACCGCGAGTTGAGCATACTCACCAGCTTCCTTTAACTTTGAAAGTCCTAGAAAGGGAATTTTGATCTTTTGTCTTTCCTCTCATCAAATAGACCCAGGTGCTCACTACAAGTTAAGCATACTTGTCCGCTTTTTCTTGCCTTACTTTCATTGCAAAAGTCCCTCTTTTTCTGCTTGTCAGTTTTCATTGTTAACACTTTCAAAGTACTGAGTGTAGCTTAATCTTTTTTAGGCTAAGCTAAAACTCTGTCAAATTTTGCTACTGTAAGCATTGTTTTTAAGACAAATTTATTCGCTTTTTGACTACCCCAATAAATATTCAGTTGGCTTACATTTTCCCTCTAATTACAATATAGCCTATCAAAAACCTTATTTATCTTTCAATATATCTTAGCATTAAATTAACAGACATCTTAATCATCTTAATCATTATTTTTAGTATACATCAACATAAACATTATGATGATGATGTTGTTATATGCCATCGAGTCACCTGCGACTCATAGCGAACCTGTTTGCAACAGCCCTAAACCCTGCTCCATCCTATGCCAATCTTACTGTCTCTGACACACCTACCCCTGTTACCCCAGTCACTTATCAATCCACTTCATAAAGAGTCATCCACTTCTGTGCTGTCCCTCTACCCTCCCAAGCATGACATCCTTCTCCAGGGCTTGGTCCAAAGTATGTCAGACAAAGCTTGAGAATCTTTGTTCTGGGATGAACATGTTTGTTTTCCTAGAAGTCCATCGTATATTCAGTACTCTTCTCCAACACCACAGCTCAAAGGCATCAGTTCTCCTCCCTAGTCATTGTCCAGCTCTCTGATGCATAGCAAGAGATTGCAAAGACCATAGCCTGTATCAGGTGCACCTTCTCCAGAGACACACAGTTACTCTTCAGTACTTTGGAGAGGTCCCTAACAGCAGACTCTCCCATGGCAATATGTCTTTTGATTTCCTGGCTGCTGGTGCCGAGAGTATTCACTGTGGAGCCAAGCATACTAAAGCTATTAACAGTCTCAGTCTCTCTTCACCGTCCATCCTGATGCTGCCAGTTGGCCCAGTGGTGAGAATCTTTATCTTCTTAATATTGAGCCTCAATCCATAGAAGGCTGCAGTTCTTGACCTTCTGCCGCAAGTGCTTCAGGTCTTGCTCAGTTTCAGCAAGCAGGGTTGTGTTATCTGCATAATATGATTGTTGATGAATCTTTCTCCAGTTCTGATGCCACACTTCTCATACAGCCCAGCCTCGCAGAAAATCTGTTCTGCATATAGATTGAAAAGGTATGGAGATAGAACACATCCCTGGGGTATACCCTTTCCAGTTTTGAACCATGCAGTGTTTCCTTGCTCTGTTCTGATGACTGACTCCTGGTCCAAGTATAGGTTTCTCATTAGAATGATCAAGTGTTCTAGGATTCCCATTCTTCTCAGAGTCAGCCACAGTTTGTTGTGATCCACACAGTCAAACGCCTTTGCATAATCAGTGAAACACAGACAGTCCTCTGGTACTCCCTTTCAGCCAAGATCCATCTAACATTAGCTACAATATCCCTAGTACCATGACCCCTTCTAAACCCAGCCTGGACAGCAGTTCTCTGTTGATGTGCAGTTCCAGTCATTTTTGGATAATCTTGAGCAGAATCTTGCTTGCATGTGATATCAATGATATTGTTTGATAATTTCCACACTCCAGATCTCTTCCAGTCAGTTGGCCAAGTGGTTGTCTTCCAGATTTCTAAACACAACTTGGTGAGCACATCTAGGGCAGCCAATGTTAGTTGAAATACATCAATTGGTAAATCATCAATTTCTAGGGCCTTATTTTTGCCAATTCCTTCAAACTAGCTTCTTCATTCATCATCATAGGCTTTTGCTTATATGTTGTTTCATGAAATTCTTTTGTGTCTGCCAGTTCCTTTCGGTACAATGACTATATACTTTTCCCATCTTTTAATACTTCCGGGATCATTTAATATTCTACCCAAAGCATCATTAAGTATAGCAACTCAAGGTTTGAACTTGTTCTTCAGTTCCTTGACATATAAAGGGGAAAACTTCCCTGTCAAAGGATTCATCTTTATACTCTTTGTCTCAGGCCAAAAGGCAGCTTGTCAACTTTCCGTTTCAGTAACATAAAAGTAACCTTGTAGGTTTTCTCCTCCACTTTGGAGAAAGAACTAATAACCATTTTAACTGTATATTATCTCAGGCCCCACATTCACAAAACCAAACCTGGTCTGTGAGTCTGAAACAACGAATCTCACTCTTTCTGACACCAAATGTCTAAAGTGGGGAAAATGGGACAGAGTGTCACCAGGCCGTGACCATCTCTCTGAAAGGGCCAAAGGGAGTAAGAATAACACAGCCCCTCACCAACCCAGAGCATAAAGAAAGTTAAGAACCCATATCCCAGCCCCATGGTGCCTCTAGACCCACAGCAGCAGCAGGAGGTTTGTTTATTCTTTACTGACTCAAACTTGTGGTATCAACAGTGGACTTTATTAGGAAAGGAAGTTGGAGAGTGGAGGTGGAAAATCCAGGTTTTATCCCAAGGCACAATTCTTCATTTAGTTCAGACTCTGGTTTCAGTTCAGCAGTCAAATTCAGATCATCCAGCAAGGTTTGCCTCAGAGCAGATAGATAGAACATCAGGCAAGAACAATAAAATCCTTTAACTGTGGCCTTTATCTTGGGACTCCTCTGCTTACATCTTGCCACAGTTTCTCCACATCAGTGCCACAGTCTCTACCACATCACCAGGGTCTCGCCACCAGGATCTCTCTCAAGTATTTCCGCCCAGGGTAGAAAGCACTTTTCTTCTTATCCTCATCCTACAAGCTGTTGCATAACCATGTGTCTGCAGTTAAGGTAGCTGAAGACTAGGAGCTAACTTATAGGTAATACGCTATTAGGTAAATGAGGCAAAACTTATTATTATTGATTGTATGGCTAAAAAAGGGCCCCCTTTTAGGCTATGTGCAAGGTAACTGAAGAGCAGAAGGGACTAACTATAATGGCTAAAAAAAAAGCCAACTTTTAGGCTAACATGACAAACATATATAATTCAGTGGTTTTTAGTATATTCAGAGAGTTGTGTCATTATGAAACTCCTAATTATAGAACCATTAGGCTTTTGGGTGTTCCTGAAATATTTTGTATGTATTTATATACATTTTTAATTAATTCACTTCTTAGAATTTTAAATCAATGTATTTTGGTATTATTAGTAGTTCCTGTAAAATCCCTAAAGTTTTTTGCTCTTAGCATTTTGTACCAAGTGGATTATGTAAGGGTAAAAGAATTTTGTAAGTTAATTGATTTATAAATTGTTTAAAAGCTAGTGTATTTTAAAATGCTATTAGGTAAATTAGGCAAAACTAAAAGTAAATAGTTTGTCACGGTTCAAATCCACCAGATGCTCTGCTGAAGAAGGAGGAACAGTCGCCTCCTGTACCAGTCAGATCCAATTTGACGGTACACGCATAAAAAAAAAAAAAAAAGAAAAGAAAAGTAAATAGTTTGTATGGTACTTAGGATGGTCTCCAGTTGTGACCCATGCATCTCCATGTACTGGGATACTGGCAGATAATGTTGTTTTTGTATTTCTTGGGACTATTCCTATTAACACGTTGCCACACACTTGTTAAATTGATGATGGTGCTTAGAAACACATTTTCCGTCATTTGCGGCAACATGTTAGTGTCTACACTTGCTTGATTGTTTTGCACTGAAGTCTCCCAAGTGTGTTTGAGGTTAATGTTATATGTCTCAGTTAATTATGTTTGGTTTTTTTTAACTCAGACTAACAAAAAAACTAGAAGAAAGGAGAGAAGAGAAAAGGAAAGAGGAAGAGCAGGTAAACATGTGCCACACCTCATGTTGTCTCACCCACTCACTCAGTGAAGGGGAGACTAGAACCTGGGATGGTGCTGCAGTTAACACAGGGCTCAGTGCTGCACACTTAAGTCTTTTTTTCACTGTTATATACTTTTTAAAAATTTCCCAGAATAAATTGGTCCATCTCTCCCTCTTTTGCATTAACAATAAAGGAAATTGAGCTGATATTATTTGATTTGAAACAGATCACATTTTAAGTTACTTTTTGTTAAATAAAAAAACAGATACTTTGTTTCCTGTGTTGTAGTGCACTCTTCATTTTCTTTCACCTTGTAAAGCTCAGTTGCATGATCACTTTGAGCTTCTACTATAGGAAGGTTATTTCTTCAAGCTGATTAAATTATTACCTTGCCTTTAGACAATAACATTCATTTTAGAAATCAAGGATGTGTCATTCTCTTGATTTTAACTTTCAACTGGTCACATCATAATCTTAAACTACTGAAAAAGATTTTTTAATAACATCATCATCATTTTGGGATTGTTGGTAATAAACTCCTTTTGTAGACATGTACATTTTAACAAGTTTTGTTGTCCTAGATATACTGTATCTAGGTATTTACTCTGCGTTTGTAATTGTACCTGGGCAGACTATCACATTTTATTTGTAGCTGTTTTAGCACTTCTTTTTAATACAGAGGGAGATTAAAAAGGAGATTGAGAGAAGAAAAACTGGAAAAGAAATGTTGGATTATAAGAGAAAGCAAGAAGAAGAATTAACAAAAAGAATGTTAGAGGAAAGAAACAGAGAAAAAGCAGAAGATAGGGCAGCTCGAGAGCGTATAAAACAGCAGATTGCACTGGTGAGTATTTTTCTGTGCAAGCTCATTTTACCGAATTATAAGATGGTACATGTAAAAATAGTGTAATTAAATGGCTCAAAGAGTGCCAGTTCTTAGCTTCCTTTTATTAGAAATTGTTTCTCAGATTAAGATACATATACAATTGAGTCCCTAGATAATGTTTTTCAAAGTCAGTTTTATTCCTTTTTTGTTTTAATTATAAATTTTATCAGGGTAGTCAAAGGGAGCTTACAGGGTGTCTCTGTAATACAAGCTAAAAATTTGGTTACCTAGGAATTTTAGTCACAAGCATTTTTTGGTGGACAAAGGATTTAGGCATGTCATAAAAGCTCAAGATGGTTTCTACAATAATTTCTCTTAGTTTTGTGCATTATGATGCATATGATACAGTACAATTGTGGCTTTAAGGAATCCCAGGCATATTTATATTTCTGATTAAACTGAAATTGAAAATACCAAACTAGATCATTTACTTAGACTATGGAAATATTAAGTCTAATAATTCTATTAAAGGATCGTGCAGAGAGAGCTGCTCGTTTTGCAAAGACAAAGGAAGAAGTAGAAGCCGCCAAAGCAGCTGCCTTGCTGGCCAAACAGGCAGAAATGGAAGCTAAGAGGGAATCTTATGCAAGAGAAAGGAGGTACTTTAATTCATGATGGACATCTGTGTGGCAGAGGAGCACAGTGTTGTGGGCTGGTTTTTACACTGAAGTGTGTGCCCTGGCTACACCCCTAACTGTTAAGTATGTTCTGAAGGATACAGTGGCCAACTTGGGAGCTCCTGGAACTCCAGAGCATTTGCCATTGAATGTGAATGTATAGTATAACAGTAGTACTAAAAGAACTTTTTAAGAGGGCGTAGAATAGTGTTTCCAGGAGATCTTTTTAAGAGGGCCTAAAATAGTGTTTCCAGGAGATAGAAACCATGTATATAAAATTATCAGTGATTATCTTGCATGGTTGGGTTTTGAAAAAAAAAAAAAATTTCCATATAGGATAACAAACAAGCATTATGCTTGTAAATCAGAAAAATAATTTTTAAACATTTTTTTTAAATTTATTTTATTATTTTGTGTGCGTGTCCCATTAACTCGGATCTGACTGGTACAGGAGGAGATTGTCCCTCCTTTTCTAGCGGAGCATCTGGTGGATTTGAACTGTGTGCCTCTGGGATTGCAGTGCAGCTTCTTGCCACTAGGCCACCAGAGCTACCTTAAAAAATTATTTTCCAGTAGGAATAAAATACTTTGGAAGAAAAGAGTTCATTAGAGAAGTACCTAATAAACCACATGTAGTAATATTTCATACTTCTTACAATAATTTTTAAAAAATCTTTAAGTGTTAGTGAAGATGTGGAGGATAAATTAGACTCTTCATACATTGTTGGTCAGATTTTATTTTTTTAAAAATTTTATTATTTGTGCGTGTGCGTGTACCATCAAATCAGATTTGACTGGTACAGGAGGGGATTATCCCTCCTTTCCCGGCAGAGCATCTGGTGGGTTCGAACCGTGCTCCTCTGGGATTGCAGTGCAGCTTCTTGCCACTAGGCCACCAGAGCTCCCCATTTTTTTTTAAATTTTTTTTTATTTTATTAGGTTGGTCAGATTTGAAAAACCATTTTGCACTTCTTCATACTGTTGAACATGAAATGTTCATATGACCCAGCATTCCACTCTTTTGTATATGTCCTAGAGAATTGAAATCACGTCTCCAGAAAAAATGAATTCAAGTGGTAAAATTTTCAAAGGTCATCTGTAGATGAATGGATAGGCAAAAAATGCTATGTTCCATATAGTAGACTATAATTTATAATAAAAAGAATATAATGCAAGAAAATAAAATGGCCATCTATACCATATAACATTCATGAATCTTGAATACTTGATGAATCTGAGCCCACTTAGAAAGAGGTTGCATGATTGAATGATTGCATTTGTGTGAGAAGTGCAGAATAAAGAAAAGGCTAGAGATTAAACCTGACTGGAGAGAAGGGATGACAGCTGTTGGGTGTTTCTGAAGTGATGAACTTATTCTAGAGTTAGTTGATGACTGTCAACTCTAAATATACTAAATACCACTCAGTTGTTTAAAAGAGTGACATTTTTAAAAAAGTGACATTTGAGTTTAAAAGTAATTATTTCTCAATAAAGCTCTTTTTTAAAAATAAGCTATCTGAGAAGGGTAAAATGATCTTTTATTACACATTTCTACTTCTATTTTCTTTAACTTTTAATGACATTTTTTGAGAATATAGTACAGATAATGACTTTTCCTTTTTCTCCCTAGTGCAATTGCTAGAATTCAGTTCCGGCTTCCTGATGGTTCTTCCTTCACAAGCCAGTTTCCTTCTGATGCTCCTCTGGAAGAAGCAAGACAGTTTGCTGCACAAGTAAATTTATGTCTTGGATCATACTAAAGCTGATTTATTGGTTATAGGATGTAGGAGGGGGAAATTTCTAAACCGAACTTGAAGAATGTGAATAAATTGTGACTTATCTCTAGAAGTGAAGCCCAGTCACTTCTGCAGTATCACAGAATTCACATTAAGTATGAGTGCCATATGAACACAGCGTATCTGCCTGTGAGACAGAAATGGAGATTTACTGATACTGTACACTAAGCTCTGCAGACTTTTCTCTGATTTGGGTCACTCAGCAGAAGTGAAAAGTGGTTTCCCAAAGGTCTGATCTAAAAGTGTTGTCCCATTCTTCCCTCAAAAACCAAACCTATTCCCATCAATTCATTCCACCTGATAGAACTACTCCAGAAGATGGGGATCACACTTTGCTCCCATGGAGCAGCCAGAGACCATTTGGTTAGCTGCTGTGCTCTTAAACCACTGCACCACCAGGGTTCCTTCTAAAAAGGATGTGATTATTCTTGGTCTTGTCACTTTTTTTTTGGTAGATTGCTTAGGATACTTTGAGGATACCCATTTCCTTACCTATCAGATTACTAATTTTTATTGGCAACGAGGGTTTTCTTCAAGAATTTACTTCTAAATATTGTCTTTACTAAATTTGAATGGGATGTGCAATTTTATATCTTATTTTAATTTATAAGAATATATTTCAATTATTTTTTATACTCTGATTCCTTTTGAAAATGGTTTCTGGACAGCACGTGTCCTTTATAAGGTAGGTACATTTCATGTGCTCCTGGTTTTCTCATTTGTCCCTGTATCAAACTTTCAAGGTTCAGATGAAGGAGTTGGTTTTGGGGTCCTGTCCTTATACCAGATTGCTTCTCCTGGAGGTCTGTTGCCTTTCTTAGGATTCCCATGAAAAGAGTGTCTAAAAATCTACTGGCCTTTCTGTACTGGTGAGCTGGGATAACAGCTCATTTTAAAACAAGTGTAAATACTTCTTTTAAGAACCCAAGTTTAAAAAAAAAAAAAAAAAGAATCAAAATTCTATAGTAAAACCAAGCTCAGCGAGCCTGTTCATTGTCTTTTTGACTTGGGATCTCTACCTGGAACTTCTTAGAAGGTATGGCTCTGTCCTGTGTCTCAGTGTTTCTCACACAGGGTAGTTATATAAGGGGAAAAAGAAAATACTTGATTGTATCACTCCTGCTAATTGTCACCTTAGAACATCCTGCTAATTGTCACCTTAGAACAGTGGTCTGATTTTCTGTTTTTGTGTATTTTTTATGTTAGAGTAAGAATAGTGAGGGAAGCATCAATGAGTAAGTAACTCAAGTAGTGAGCGTTAGTGAAGTTTGGAAAAGTAAATAGTTGTCTTTTTGCGATTTTACAAGTAACTGAGAATTGTTAAGGTAATGGTACTTACTGCCACATGTACATTCCTGAAACTGGGATTCTGTGCGGTGTAGGTTGGCTTTGGAGCATTTATGCCTTAAGACTAGGATGCTGAGATAGATGTTATGTATATGGAGAATGAACTGATCTGGTGCAGATTTTTATTAAAGGGTAATTGTAATCTAAATGATTTAGTATGTTTGCCAAAAGATAAAGACATTTTAGTATAGCTGAGCTATACTCCAAAGATAAATATACCTGTTAATAGTTTACTCAGTTTGTTCATTGGTTGTTTTGGAACATCTGTATCTTTTAATTCAGTGATCATTTTTATCTTTATAACCTAAAAAAATACTTGAATTTGATCCCTTTTAAGCTATATTTGAAGCAGAGCTTTAATTGTTTTCATTTAACAGTTCTAGGAGCTTTAATAATGAAGGCGGTTTTTTTAAAAAAATAAGGCATTTTTTTGGACATAGGAATTGTAGTCTCAGGGAACATTCAGGTCAGTTGTTGTTCTAAGTGTAACTTAGTCTACAAAGACCATGTTACACCTACAGCTGTGGTGAGCAGCAGCAAGGGTCTTCAAAGCTTGTGTGTACCCATCTTAAGGTCTAATCATTGGGCTTTTCCTGTCTGGAACAAAGAAGAGGGAATAGCAAGGATGCCTAGGAGTAATTAGTCCAGAGTCCTGACGGATCACATGAGCCTCAGCCTCCTTGACCCAGAAACAGAGCAGCTGACATGACTGCCGACTGCTCATAGATCGCAATAGAAGGTTCTTGATAGAATGGGCAGAGATGTATAACAGAACTCAGAAAAGTAAAAATAGTCAAGCTTACTTGCCCAATACAGTCTGAGGGAAGCCCTGAGACTGTGTGCTTTAGCTGCCCTTCAAACTCAGTCCTGTGGCCTAGCTTTCAGCCAAATAGTAGATCTACAAGGTGAACTGGGAGTTATAGTGGTATCATCTGTAGAGAGTTCCACTGTTGGAGCCTTTCTGATAGTTCGAATCCACCAACGTTCTGAGGGGGAAAGATGGGCAATCCCCTCCTGTGCAGTCTACAGCCTTGGAATCCACTGGAGAGTCAGCTCAGGATCTGTTCCAACTCCATGCATTGAGTTGATGAGGTGAACCAGACCAGGGAGGCACGTATTCCTCAGGATAATCAGTCAGCAGGGCATCCCCAGATAAAGCACAGAAGGGAGGCAGAGAAGCAGTAGATTGAAGGATTAATGGAAATGAGAATCACAGGGAGATGGGAAGAGTGCAGTTACATTGTGGATACTGTAATTAATGCAACATAACAAAATATGTATGAATAGTTGAGTGGAACACAGATTTTGCTGTCTAAACTTTTACTCAAATAATAATAAAAATATGGCACTCTTAATTAAAAAGCTGTCATTTTGAATGCATGTAATATAAAATCGTGTTTGGTTTTTTTTAATTATTATTAAATTTTATTCGTTTTAATGAACATTTACAGAAATTTTGGGTTCTCATTCATTCGTTGTTGCATAAAATCATGTTTTAAAAGGACACCGTTGTAAAGTTTTAAAATTTTTGTTATATTAACAGACTGTTGGCAACACTTATGGTAATTTTTCGTTAGCAACCATGTTTCCCAGGAGAGAATTTACCAAAGACGATTATAAAAAAAAATTACTGGACTTGGAACTTGCCCCAAGCGCTTCAGTGGTGCTGTTGCCAGTACGTATCTCCTCTTGCCGGCTTCTTGTAATTAATAGAAGGTTAAATGGGTATAGGGCATGGAATGAAAGCCAGATTATTTTAAAATGTATTTTTTTATTATCTTGTACTTTCTATGTTAGTATTGCTCCATTGGGTAGTTGAACTTTGAATTTGTTCTTTTCCTTGCCTGTATTTGCTTGTACACTCATCCGCACAGGCATGTTTAGGTGCAGGACCAGCCTGTTAAGTGAAGTCAGCGTTATATGTGAGTGTGGTGGGTGGAGCACCAGTGTCCACCTTCCCTGGTTGCTCACGAGATATACCTGATTTGATGAGGTCCCCTTCCCACCCTACTTTTTCTATTCTCTCAGGACTGACAGGGGTTGAGGGTGGTGATAGAGGGTCATCTGCGTCGGGCAAGGGACCCAGTTTGAGCTCTTCTGTCCTGACTTATCTCACGTGACACTGTACCCACCAGTCCCCACACAGTTCCTCAGCACCTCCTTTTGCCAACCTATAACCTTACATTATTCCTCTGTAGTCCTATGCTTGTCAGCTGCTATCCCTTATGTAGCCCACTTGTTGCTAAAGTGTCTGGTGGCCACAGCCCTTATTGGAGCCCTCATTTTGGGAGGCACTGACTAAAATGATTTTTTAAAGTTATCCTAAATATGATATAGTTGATTAAATGAGTATGTCTGTTATTCATCTGACAATGGTAGCATTAAGTTTTTAAATGTACTATGTCATTTGATTCCCACAATTTTTTTAATATATGATGATGAAAAGAGGCTCAGAAGGTTAACAGATGTTGTCTAAGGTCTATTAAGTGCCAGCACTGACGTGTTAGCCAGGTTTCCTGTTTGCTGGCTGGTAGAGTTTTGTTTACTTTGAGCTGAGTCTCATACCTAAAATAATTAGGCCTTTAATAGTCAAGCTTTAATTATTGTCACTAAGGTTTAGAAACTTCCTTTTTTAATTAATGAGCAACAGAGGCTTTTCTTATCAGAGTTGTCAGTTCCAAAAATTTAATTTCCTTAAAAATAATTGGTCCAGGGGAGCTCTGGTGGCCTAGTGGCAGGAAGCTGCATTGCAATCTCGGAGGTGTGTGGTTCGAATCCACCACATGCTCTGCTGGAGAACAGGGACAATCTCCTGTACCAGTCAGATCTGATTTGACAGTATACACACATACACACCAAAAAAAAAATTTTTTTTTAAAATAATTGGTCCATTTCACAGTGAGAACTATAAAGAAGAGAGTCATTAATTACCTGGAATCTCATGTGATAGGGCTGGTAGTCATTTCCTGGTTTGTTTCTTAATTTCTAGGCAGGAAGACCAACTACATCCATGGTACACTCTTCTAGTGGAGACATTTGGACGTTGTTGGGGACAGTACTTTACCCATTCCTTGCCATCTGGAGATTGATTAGCAACTTCTTATTTAGTACCCCTCCTACTGTTGTCCAAACTTCTGTGAGAGTGGCGTCATCGGAACCCTCAAACTCTGCATCATCTAGCAACTCTGAGAAAAGGTACTGTGTGTGACCCCATTTACAAAAATAGTAGTGTACATTATCTCTGGTGGCCTATGGTTCAAATCTACTAGCTACTCTGAAGAAGAAAAATGGACATTCTCCTCCTGTGTAATTGACTGCCTCTACGGGGTAAGATGTGAGTCAGTTCTGACTCGATGACACAACAGCAATTATCACAAGGGCTGTCTTATTTATATACAACAGACAGCAACCTGCCTTATTTGAAATTAAAAATGTATAGTTAATTTTTGCTTTGTTTATATGACTTTCCCAGTGCCCCCCTTTGAATAACAGAAAATTACATATTTTGAAATTTTACTGTAGCATCTCTCCTGGTAGAGCAGAAACTGAGTTTACTGAGCCCATCTTTCTTTTTTTTTTAACTTTATTATTAATTTTAATCAAAATTTACAGAGACTTTGGATTTCCATTCATTCATTATTGCACTTTTCTCCCTGTCCACTCCTCCCTTCCAGTTCATTCTTCTCTTTGCAAAGTAAAAGAAAAATTCTTTCATTGTTACACAGTCCCTCCCCCTAAGTCCACCCCACTGTGTAGCCTTCATTCTGGACTCATGTCATAACAATAATACCTAACCATATATACCTTTTAAACAGTTCTCGTTCTCATCTGCTTCAATGCAGTATACATAATTTAGCCCATCTTTCTCAGTCTCCCCCCAACCCCTGTGCCAGTCCCGTTTTATAACAGAGGCACTGTGCAGTATTTGTCCTTTTGTGACTGAGATATTTCACTCAGCATAATGTCCTTCAGGCTCACCCATTTTGAATAATATTGCATGAGTTCCTTGTTTTTCAATGTAGCATAGTATTCCATTGTGTGAATATACCACAGCTTCTCTATCCATTCGTTTGTTGATGGGCATTTAGGTTGTTTCCAACTCCTTGCTATTGTGAACAAAGCCACGATAAACATGGGTGTGCAAATATCTGCTTGGGTGTCAGTTATAGTCTCTTTGGGGTATATTCCCAGTAGTGGAATTGCTGGGTCAAATGGTATTTCTATTTGCAACTCTTTGAGAAAGCACCATACTGCCTTCCATAGTGGTTGCACTTTACACTTCCACCAACAGTGAGTAAGTGTTCCAGTTCTCCACAACCTTGCCAGCATTTGTTGTTTGCTGTTAAATTTTGCTATTCTTATTGGGGTGAGGTGATATCTCATAGTTATTTTGTGAGCCCATCTTTCTAAAACCTATTCCATAGAAAGTAGCTTCATCTGTCTTAGTTTTATGGTTTTCTTCATAGACTTCCCTTTGTTTTATGGCATAAAGACAGGTGACTAGACTAGTTCTTTCTGCCATGCCAGCCATGTTTGGCCTGAGCGGGTGCTGCATTCCATTTATTGCTCACTGGTCGTGGGTCATACTTTAGATAGAAGAGCCGTTTGGTAATGTTAATCCTGGTGATTCTTTAGTCTGCTGATGGACAGCCTTGGGATGTTCATGGAAGGATCAACCTGAGAAGACTAGATGTATCATGCAGGTGATGCAGCTGTTTGGTTTTTTTTTTTTTCTATATTTTATTAATTTTCATAAACATTTACAGAGATTTTGGGTTTCCGCTCATTCATTGTTGCACTGATGCAGCTGTTAAGACTGACTTTGTGCTGACTCTTCTTCTGAGAAGCCCTTCTTTTAGTGCAGATGGCAGTGGTTAGAATGGATCACACTAAGAATTCTAACTCTTGCATCTGTCTTAATATTTCACATGTTTGAAGAAGGTGAACACAAATTGGAACATGCTTTCCTGGAAGGTAATTAGAATATGGCCACATTTCCTATCCTGTAGACCTGGTGTGTTGACATTGGTTGCTGTTGAGTTGGCTCCAACTCGTCTCAGCCCTGAGCCCAGCAGAGTGAAACCTTGCCCAGTCCTGCACCATCCTCATACTCTGCTGGGCTGTAGTCACTGTTAGTGTGTCTGCTCAAAGAGCTTAGCCTCCGCCTTTCCGAGCATGATGTCCTTTCCCAAGCACTGGCCCTCCTAACGGAGTGCCCAAAGTGAGATGAGGTTTCACCATCCTTGCCTCTAAGGATAACCCTGGCTGCATTTCTTTCAAGATTTGATTATTCTTTTGGCAGTTCATGGGATGCTTAGTACCCTGGCCTCCCAGCACAATTCAAGGTCATCAGTTCTTTGCTTTTCCTTATTCATTGTCAAGCCTTGACATTCTTGTAACATGCATGGTTAATGAGGCTGGCAAGAGTAGGACAGTGTTTCTGTTGTACTGTCACTGTAACTCGGGGTTGACTATAAGCATTCTTTCAAGTCTTCTCACCAGTTTGTTGTAATAAGTAGTACAAACTCTTATCTCTGTCTGCCATCAGGACTCCTTGGACTTAATGTCTTACTGACTCTATAGATGATGATTTTTATATTGTATTCGGACTTTAGCTTTCATCTTGGTTTATTTCTGCTGTGTTGGGCAGGAAAACTTTTGTCCATAGTATATGTCTTAAATGGGGACACAGAGATCCTGTCTGGTCTTAGAGCAGTGAGCCCTGGTGGCACAAATGGTTAAGCACTCAGTAGCTAACTAAGAGGTCAGTGGTTTGAACCCACCAGGAAGCCCAGCTGAGAACAACTTGGTGATAGGTTTTTGTATAGATCATGGTCTAGGAAAACCTAGGGGCAGTCCTGCTCTGTCTCATGGGTTTGTTGTTGTTGTTGTTGTGTTGTTAAGGGCCATCGAGTAATTTGCGACTCATAGCGACCCTATGTACAACAGTCCTAAACCCTGCTCTATCCTGTGCCAATCGCACTGCCTCTGACACACCCATCCCGATTATCCCAGTCAGTGAATCAATCCATCTCATAAAGGGTCTTCCCCTCTTGCGCCGTCCCTCCACATCAAGCATGATGTCCCTCTCCAAGGACCTGTCCCTCCTTAAAACATGCCCAGAGTATGTCAGACGAAGCCCCAGAATCCTTGCCTCCAAGGAGCACCCTGGTTTAACCCTCTCTAGGATGAATCTGTTTGTTTTCTTGGCAGTCCATGGTACATTCAGTACTCTTCTCCAGCACCACAGCTCAAAGGCATCAATTCTCCTTCTGTCCTCCCTAGTCATTGTCCAACTCTGATGCATAACAAGTGATGGCAAAGACCATGGCCTGTATCAGGTGCACCTTAGTCTCCAGAGAGACACCGTTGCTCTTGAGTACTTTAGAGAGGTCCCTAACAGCAGACTTTCCCATCACAATACGTTTTTTGATTTCCTGACTGCTGGTGCCAAGAGTGTTGACCATGGAGCCGAGCAAACTGAAGCTGTGAACAATCTCAATCTCTTCGCCATCCATCCTGATGCTACCTAATTGGTCCAGTGGTGAGAATCTTTGTCTTCTTGACATTGAGCCTCAGTCCATACTGAAGGCTGCAGTCCTTGACCCTCTGCAGTAAGTGCTTGAGGTCCTCCTCAGTTTCAGCAAGCAGGGTTGTGTCATCTGCATAACGCAGACTGTTAGTAGATCTTCCACCAATCCTGATGCCACAATTCTCCTCATAGAGCCCAGGTCTCGGATAATTTGCTCTGCATACATGTTGAAAAGGTATGGACACAGGATGCATCCCTGGTGTACACCCTTCCCAATTTTGAACCATGCAGTGTTACCCTGCTCTGTTCTGACTACTGCCTCTTGGTCCAAGTATAGGTTTCGCATTAGCACAATTAAATGTTCTGGGATTCCCATTCTTCTCAGAGTCAGACACAGTTTGTTATGATCCACACAGTCAAATGCCTTTGCATTATCAATGAAACACAGATAGACATTCTTCTGGTATTCCCTGCTTTCAGCTAAGATCCATCTAACATCAGCTACAATATCCCTAGTACCCAGACCCCTTTTAAACCCATCCTGGACTTCTGGCAATTCTCTGCTGATGTGCTGTTCCAGTCATTTTTGGATAATCTTCAGTAGAATCTTGCTTGCATGTGAAATCAATGACACTGTTCTGTAGTTTCCACACTCAGTTGGGTCACCCTTCTTTGGAATGGGAACAGATACAGATATCTTCCAGTCAGTTTGCCAAGTGGTTATTCTCCAGATTTCTTGGCACAGCTTGGTGAGCACATCCAGGGCAGCATCTGTTATCTGAAATGCTTCAATTGGTATACCATCTATTCCTGGGGCCTTATTTTTTGCTATTTCCTTCAAAGCAGCTTTGTTAGGGGAGAAAAATTGATTTGACAGCACTGCAGAACAACACTGTCAGGATAGTGTTCAACTTAGGCCTGGTCAGCCCTAATTTTAGAATGCTGCTAAGCTGTATGGGTGGAATCATTTAATCTTGAGTTTTTATAATGTTCATTGTGTGAATTTTGAAACTGATTGCAAATGAAAAGATGTGAGATTGTGGCAAATGATACGATGAATGTGCATCAAAGAGGGTAGCTGTTTTATGAAGTCTACTGTTGGTCATTTTTTTTTACCTCCCTCTTGAGTTTTACAGGATTTTGTTAAATTTCTCTTCTATCTGCTCATTTTCAAGTGACCAAGTCTGTATTGGTTTTAATTATTTATACATACAGCACTGTGAAAGATTTTGTAAGGATTGAAATTTTGCTAATTGGCCATTTCTGTCAAGTAGGGTATAAATGAAGCTTTGTGTAGCCACTTGGGTGCTCTTTGTTATAAATGTTTTAGTAGACAATTCACCTTGCATAAGTAAGTAATAAAGGACAGACTAGTTATCAAATGGTCTCACTTTTCTAAAGCCTAGATGTAGAAAATATGATTGAACTGGCTTTGAGCACAGATGAAGTTAGAACCGCCAAAGCCTGGAAGAGTTTAGTACTGTCCCAGTAGGTCTCAGTGTCTCTGTGGACTTTCCTCACCTTAAACCAAAACGAACTTCGCATCAGGTGAACTCCACTCACGGTGCCCCAAGGATGGAGTAGACTAGCCAGAGACTGCCACCTCTTCCTCCCTCACACTATCAACCTTCACTTGTCAGCTGAGTGCCTAACTATAATAGTACCAGGACCCCTCCTTTATATTTGATAGCATTCAAGTAAATAGAGTTACCTATACTAATGCATGTAGGGCACTCTAGTGGTGTAGTCTCTTAAGATTTGGGTTGCTAACCCAAAAGCTACACTTCCATGGGAGTTTGAATCAACTGTTTACTTCTCAGGAGAAAGATGGGCACTTCACAGCCAGTAGGGTATCAGCTTTGAGTTGGTCCTGACTCTGCTAACCCATAAGGAGCCCTGGTGGCATAGAGCATTATTTGTTACATTCCTGGCAAAAATTCAGTGGTTCAGATCTACCAGCTGCTCTGCAGGCAACATATATAGGCAGTCTCCTTTTGTAAAGATTTATAGCTTCATAAATCTGATGAAGAGTCGCCATGAGTTGGAATCCAGCAGTACTTTGTTTTTTGAGTAGAAACTTTGGTCCCTTTGCTGATGTATCTTTTCTAATAAATCTTTATTTTTTCCTTAAAAAAAAAAAAAAAGAAGAAGAAACGTACTGCTATCAACCCAATTCTGACTCCTCACAACCTTGTAGGACAGAGTAGAACTACCTCGTAGGGTTTCCAGGGCTGCAAGCCTTCACAGACCCCGGTGGCTTTCTTTGTCTTGGGGAGTAGGTGGTGAGTTCAGACTACTAACCTTTCATTTAGCACACTACCAGGGCTCATTTCCTATAGTGAGGAAAATTTAAAGGAAACAAGCTTTGTGGCAATTTCATTATGTGTGATCTTCCTTTTTCTATCAGGGAACCAGTCCGAAAAAGAGTGCTGGAGAAACGGGACGACTTTAAAAAGGAGGGCAAGGTCTACAGACTGAGGACTCAAGATGATGGTGAAGATGAAAACAACACTTGGAATGGCAATTCGACCCAACAGATGTAGTGCTCCAAGTACCAAATGTGCAGTAATCATTGTTTGTCTTAGGATTTAATGCAACTAAAATGTTCCTGGACAAGTGGGACAGCTTTATGTTTTCCTGCTGATCTATAAGTGTCTCTTTTATTCCTGCCTAGTGGGTGTGGGTCAAAATTGCTTAACTCAAAAAAGTTGTGAGATAAACTGGCTGCTAGGCTCCTCACGTTTGGTAACCAACTGCTTGAAGCCTAAAGGAATCAGAAGTTCTGGTAACCTCCCTTCATCAGCTTTTTGTTCACCCTTTCATGCTCATTAGCCCCATGCTTTCTGATGATTGTTTTGTTTAGAGCTGTTTTGCTCTAGAACTCTTAAGGCCATACAAAGTAACTGGCATGTCACTGAGTAATTAGACCTTGAGTCAGAGCATTTTAATGAGCCAGATGATTTATGTTTAACTTTTCTCTTTTGTTCATTAGCTACAAGCAAAATCTTGTAGTTTTTTAATCTCACTTGGACACTGAATAAAAAAATCTTTTCCAAAAATCAGAGCTATCTTATCTTTAAGTTTTGTTTTCCTAGCTTTTTTGTTACACAAATTTTTTTTTGAGGTCACATGTCTCTGATTCCCGCCTCAATCCCCCTTTTGGACAGAACTGCTACTTTATCTTAAATATCACTGAAGGAAGACATTTTCTGGCATACACTGAGGTTAGGTTTCTGTCTCTCTTAAGTCAGTGGGGCATTATTTTGTTTGCATAATGTTACGGTTTTTGTTCTAATGAGATGCAAAACAGCTGCTAGTCCATGCCTGTTTTTCTCATCTTTGTACTTTAGTTGTGGTCTCTGTAAAAATTAAAGTACCTGTAGACAAATGTAAGACAAGAAGCATAAAGAAATCTTATAATCATCAGGTTAGGCTTAAGGATTTTAAAGATTGTTCATGTGACTTAGGTGCTACTTTACCCATAGTTTGGTAGTGGAGATCCAGAAGAGTAACACAGTTTTAGAGCCTATTTGACAGGTCCTGTTTTGCTTTCTGTCACTAGATGGAAAGTGGCACACCCAATGAGCAAGGAGGACACTAACTTTAGTCTGTGTGAGAATATAATATTCCCACCACATAGCCTTCCTAGTTTTCGACTCTGATATAGCAGTGACTTTTTAAATGGTGTGGTGTTAGCAAGGAAACAGGCTATGCTGCTGGGAGACGTGAAAAATGAGTCTTTCTGAAAGCAGTATTTATCAGTAACTAAACATTTCATACTCTTTGATCCAATAATTTTTTCTAAGGAGTTTTCATAAATGCAAGCAAAGTTTACAGATTAACATTATTTAGGCATTATTTACTTACAAACTGGAAACCATCTACATGCCTTCTGCTGAAATAATGACATAATTTTTAGAGAGAAATGGTCCAGTACAGGTGGTCCAGCTTACAGTGACGTTCTAGTTCAACAGTCTGTGTCAGTTCTGCTGTAAGTTAAATACCTCTTTCCACACCCCCACATTATTATGTCTCACTAACAATACCTTCATAAATCCATTCTTGGAATATCTGCGAGTGAATGAGAATAATATCAATAAATGACTGTGACACTGTATGTAGTTAGGTACGTATATGTACATATTACTGTGGATAAGGTGGACTCCCCCCAAAGTCCCAGGCAGTCATAAGTGTGGTTCTTGGTAAGCTGAGGACTCCTGTCCTAATTCAGCAGCTTACTTTAACATACTTTTACTGAGAAGAAAAGCAGGATACAGCATTGTCACTACAGTGTGATCTCCACCTATAAGCACATTTATGAAGAGATAGTACTATATATTAATTTATATGTAAACAAAAAGAACCTCATCAAAACACTAATGAGCTAAGAGTGGCTATATGCGATTTTCATTTTTAGTTTGAAAAAGAAAAATGTCTAGCAACCATCTCATTTAAATACAATTTTGTCATCTTTAAGCAGTTAGCATACTAGAGAATTTTAAGAAAATAGAACAAATGGGTACGACCCTCTATAACTACTAGGAAGTATCAAGTACCTCGAGTACCAATAGGACTAAAAACCATAAAGTTAAAACGGCCTCTCCCTGCTTCATCCTGGCCTCCCTGCAGTTGCCCAGAGATAACCTCTTAACAGTTTCTTATGTCGGATTCATAACTTTTTACTCATATACAAATATGTAATCTTTATTTTTAAATAAACGGGATCATATTATATATACTATCCTGCATTTTACTTTGTTCTCACACAGTTTTGAAGGTCTTTCCCTGCCCACACATGGCTACCTCATACTAATGTCTGTAGGACCTTCTGCTCTACAAATACGCCTCCATTACCCAGGCTGTTAAAAATTTTGTTTGCTTTTGCTTTCCTGTTACATTATTACAATGAACATCTTTGTGACATTATGTTAGTTTTGAAACCATATCCGTAGAATAAAGTTATTTCGTTTGGGAAATCCAAAGGAGCCTGCAGTTTGACTTTGACAAATACTGCCCAGTTGCGTTCCACAGAGAGTGTGTGAATTTATGCTCCCACCACTAGTCCATGAGGATGCCATTCCCCCCTTGCCAACAGTTTTATACACTTTCATCTTTTTCATTATGATCGGTGAAAAACTGCATATATTTTAATTGTGAATATTGTATAATGAGCATCTTTTAACAGGAGTCCTTCAGTTATTGTCTGGGAACTGCCAGTTTGTATACTTTGCCGGTTTTCTGTGTGTTGTTTATCTTAGTGATTTATAAGCCTTTTTTTTTTTCTTTTAAGAAAGATAAGCCTTTTGTCCAGCACATGCTAAAACCATTTTTTCCTGCTTATCTTCTGAGGAGTATTTTGATAGTATGTTTTTCCACCACGTTTATGTGGTTAAATTTGTCAAATTTTTCTTAATGGCTCTGAATCTTGAGTCTTGATTAAATTTCCTGCTTAAAATGTAACAAAAAAAGCAGCGCTGCAATCCCAGAGGCACATGGTTCAAATCCACCAGCTGCTCCTCAGGAGAAGGATGGGCAGGTTTCCTTCTGTGTGAATAACTGCCTATGAAAACCTGCTGGAGGGTCAGCTGTGGGGCGGTTCTGACTCAAAGGCACACAAACAGCAACATTCGTGGTAGTGTCATGATCTTTTTTTTTTAACATTTAATCTAGCATCTGATGTCCTACCCCAACACGGCTAATTCTCAAGAGCTAACCATGTTTATGGAATCACTCCCGTCTTCCCCTGATCAGACCTGCGCTGCCACTTTGCTGCATGTGCCATTCAGGTGTGTGTGGCTGGCTGGGCCCTCTTCCTTTACCCACCACTCTTCCCTGTCAAACAATTTTAATAGGTAACTTTATGATAACGTTTCATAATCTCCAGATTTTCCCTGGCTAGTCTGAAATGTTTCATTATTATGTGGATTTTATATCAGTCTCTTCTTAAAAAAAATTGTTAGTTGCTGTCAAGGCAGCTCAACTTATGGGGACCTTCATATAACAGAACAGACATGCCCAGCCTGTCACCACCTGCAGAATTTTTAATCCATTTGAACCTGTTTTTGCAGTTAGTTATTTGACATTGTCTTGGTTAGCTAGTGCTGCTGTCACAGATACCACAAGTGGGTGGCTCTAACACATCTCTTAGAGTTTAGGAAAGTAGAAGTCGAAACTCCAGGGCCAGCTCTCTGGGAAAATGACCTCCCTCTGTTTGCCCTGGAGGAAGGTTCTTGTGATGCCAGCATTGGGCGCCATAACTTTTCTTGAGGCTTTCCACCTGTCATGGCCATCCCTGGTGTCTAGCTCCACACACAAGTACCTGTGTCCATAGATTATTATAGCATTGCATGTATGTATCTGGGGTGGCATATTTCAATCCATGATAGGTATTGATACTAAAATTTAAGATGAGTTGTAGGACACACCTTACAGAAGCTTTGGTGTCCATGTAGATAGCACGGCATGTACTGTGATACCTTTGTGTAGACTTTGTGAAAGTCTGTACTACAGGTGGGACCCTCCCAGAATTGAGGTTCTGACCTCTAGAAACAATATAAGAACTAAAGTTTCTAAGTGTCAATCAGAGATGGTATTACGGCCTCACCACTGCCCTTCTGGGTGTGTTGGGTGGGATACACACATAGAGTAGGTGCGCTTGCCCCTCAAGATGTGCTTGCAGTGAGGCTTGGTCTTTGACCTCAGACACTGACAGAGAATCCTGCAAATGCTTCAGGTATGATATGGTATCAGGTCAGTGTGGAATAGCAACAAGCAGAATAGAAGGAGTTATTCAGGGAAGGTAGGCAGAGAACATGTATTTTCATATAATGTGCCCATGTAAACAATGTGTGCACACAGTGTGTAGGGAACAGATGTGCTAAGGGGGTGGTGTGGTTTGCAAAAAATTGAGTGTGGTGGCTATGTACAAATAAATGGTACATTATCTCCACTGAGACCTGAAGACATTTTCAAAAGAAAGGGCATTCTAGGCAGAAGAAAGCATGTATGAAGATCCAAGGAATAAAGTATGGCTAGGGACTGTCATGCAGTAAAAGCTACTGTAGATTGGGAGAGGCAGCTTGGGGAAGCAGGTATGTCTAAGTGGGATGTGTGTGTGTCCACAAAAGTTGCCTACCAGACTGGAGAGCCAGGAAAGATGTGAACGGTGGCATTTGTGCGAGGGGCAGATGAAGGGTAATTCAGGTATCGGTATGCACTATGATATCTCCATTCCAAGGGACCGTAAAGTAAGAATGCTTCAGTCTGATGGGCTAGCTAAGGAGAACCCCCAGAGGGCCATATGCCTCCATGTTTTCCCCTGTACCCTATTTCCATGGAAGACAAGAGATGCTGCACGTGACTATTTTTATTTTCTGAGAAATGAGGTAAGCAGTGAAGAGCTGTCAGGAGATGATGCTGAAGTCCATGTGCTGAGCTGATTTCTGACAGGTCCTTGTGTTCCCACTTCTAAAAAACTAATCTGCAACAACCCAGCCCAGTCAAGTGACAGCAGTTTGCCTGGTCTGCCATGTCCACATCTCCCCAGAGCCACCTGCAGACCCCTTTACCCCAAATCAGTTCCTGGATGTAGGATGCAGTTTCATCAGCAACTCACAATCCTTTAAGAGCAAAGTCATCTCTCAGTGCACACAGCTTTAGGAAATCTCAAGCAGTTTGGTGGGAGGAGAAGCCACACAAAGTGGGCCTACTTGAGGGAACTTGGGGAGGTGGATCAGAAGGAAGAAGTTTGATTCAGTTCCTGTTGGCTTGGCTGTGTTTTCCCTTGCCTGGAGAGTTTACAATACTTGTACAACAGAAATGCTGTGCTACAGACTCCAAGAAGCAGCAGAGGGAAGAGGATGTACAAAGCGGTTTGTGCTTCAGCTGTAGCTAGCAGAAGCCCCAGGAACCAAACTTCATCCTTTGTCACGGGGCTGATGGTGGGAACACCATCTAGAAGGCAACACAAATGGTCTCTGCATCAGTACTGAGTCCAGACACTGGTGTCAAACCCAGCGTAACCCATCACATCTCTCCTCACAGTCATCTTGCAGTTCAGGGCAGAGTAGAACTGCCTCACCTTTCTCCCATGAAGTGGCTCCTGAATTTGAACCACAAACTTTTAAGTTAGTAGCTCAGAGAGCCGCTGCCCCACTGGGACTTCTAAGTCCAAGATACGTGCCATCAAGTGAAAACCCTCCCACAGGTTTTCAGAGACTAAATCACACAGGAGGTGATTGCCCATATTTCTCCCTTGGATCAGCTCGTGGGTTTGCACTGTAAATCCTTGTCCACTAGGCTACTAGAGCTCCCTTCGTCTAAGACAGATATGTGGAATTCAGAGATTATATGGGTCCCTAAAGTATTCATGGCCAGAGTAAGCTCATTGCTCAAGAACTTTGATAAGTGAGTCGGATGCAACAGCAGTGGTTGTAGTATTTCACTAGCAGAATATAATCTAACTTGTCTCATATTTGCATGGTGAGTTATACACTTTGTCACCACCACGAGGTGCCTGCATTGCGCCAGTCACCACACCTGACAGGCATTTCTTTGATCATTGAGAGTGCACAGGGTCGTTTGTCTAATTTCTTGCCCAATATTAATTACGTAGCAGGTTGGTACAGTTAGACCGAACCAGTGCTCTGGTTTGTAGGTGTAACATTAATTCCGAGCATAATTCGCAAAAATGTACATTAAAAGGAAGGAAATACTGGTTGAGAATAAGGGGATGAAGAGGTAGAGAGGAAGTTAAGAAAATCTGGACAGTTCCTCCCTCTGCCCAGCTGCCCCTGCTTCAGTCCCTCCCAGCCAGTGCTCACCTGGCTGCAGACAAGGGTGAGGGCCCGCTGCGGGGTCAGGGAAGCCGTTGCACTGGGTTATGGAGGCGTAGAACCTGGCGGACTCTCTGGGAATCCTCGGCAGAGATGGGTCAGTGTAGTTCACAAAGTGCAGCCCAAACCTCTCCGCAAAGCCTACGGCCCACTCAAAGTTGTCCATTGCACTCCAAGCCGTGTATCCCCTGATGTCCACCTTATCCTGCACAGCTGCCAAACAGAGACCTGGGAGTCAGTTTTGGCTTGCCATTTTCTTGCCTTGCTCCTAGGTCCACCGAAGCCACTGTCTGCTCGCAGATTTCCCACAGTCCTGAGCCGCCACATCAAAATGAGTCTTGGCTTTATCTTTGTCCTAGAATTTGGATTTCTGACTCATAACTGGGTTCTTGTTCTCTCTCCCCCCCCTCCCTTCCCCCTCTATCTCTCTCTTCTCCCTCTCTCTCTCTCTCTTTCTAAGCTCATGTGGGTTTACACTGACCTAGTATGACTAGTCCTGGTCCTTCTTTCTCTACAAGGAATAATAGCCTTCTCACACCGTGCCCAAAATATGTGAGATGAAGCTTGTCCTTGATCTTCTGCAGCAAGTGTTTCAAGTTCTCCTTACTTTCAGCAAGCAAGATTGTGTCATCTGCATAATGCTGTTTGTTGACGAATCTTCCTCCAATCCTAATGCCACGTTCCTCTGTTGAGAATCCAGCTTCATGAATTATTTGTAGTATACAGATTAAATAATTACAGAGACAGGACACATCCGTGGCTCACACTTCCTGATTTTAGACTGTGCAGTCAGTGTTCCTTTGTTCTGTTCTTGGACTAGGTATAGGTTTTGTATGAGCACAATTAAGTGTTCTGAGACTCCCATTTTTGTTAATGTTACCGAAATTTATGACTCACAGTCAAATGCTTTTGCATAGTCAAATATATATAGACATAATTTGGCTTCCTTTTAACCAGAATAAACTTGACCTCAGCAATATCACTGCCGCCATGGCCTCTTCGCAATTCCACTTGAACTTCTGAAAGTTCTCTCTCAGTGTACTGTTTTAGCCATTTTTTTATTATTTTCAGCTATACTTTGTGATACTAATGATACTAGATAATTTCCACATTTCTGTTGAAACACTTTTCTTGAGAATGGATCTCTTCCAGGAAGTCATCTAGCCAAGAAGCTATCCTCCAGATTTCTCGTGAGCTCATCCAGGATTACATCTTGTTAGTTGAAACATGTGAACTGGTATCCTATCAGTGCGTGGGGGCCTTATTTTTATGCCTATGTTTTCAACGCAGCTTGAACCTCTTTATTATCACTAATTGTTCTAATGGTACTTCCTGAAATTTTTCAGTGTTGATGAATTCATTCTGGTACAATAATTCTTTGTATTCTTTCCATCTTTTGATGTTTCCTGTATTATTAAAGATTTTGTCCATAACATTTCAGAATTATAACTTAAGGCTTGAATTTATTTTTCAGTTCTTTCAGCTTAAGAAATGCTCAATGAGTTCTTCCCTTCTTATTCTCTAGCTCTTTGCACATTTCATTATAAAATTTTGTTTTGTCTCCTCATGTCAGCATCTCTTTCCTTTGTTTTGGCTTCTTGGCGCACTAGTACGATGACCAGTCTCTTCTGACATCCATTTTGGTGTTTTCTCCCCCTCTGTCTATGCAATGACTTTTTGCTCTCCTCTTGGATGATATCTTTGATGCCATCCTACAGCTCCTGGTTTTTGATCATTGCTGTTTAATGCCTCAAACCTGTTTTTGCCCTTTTTTTTATGGCACTTTTTTATTATTTGTTGATAGGACAAATAGTTATTAAAGCATAACTGTGTTCACTAGAAGTGGACAGTGATTATCCAGCCATTCTCTGGAAACAATGTGCATTTAATCACCCAGTTTTAGTTTGTTTATCTTCTGCCTGTGCCGCTCAGTCTCCTCAGAATGCATGAGTCTTCGTGGTGTTTCTTCCAGGCTGCCAGCTGTTCTGAAGCCTGTGTTCGGAAGTATTGCTCTTCAGCCACCTCTTTCTCCAAAGGCCCCACCGGCCTCCCTGAAACTCTCCGCTCCCCTGGAGATTAGAACTGAAGCCTCGGGCTTGCAGGACCTCAGGCCAACGCTGTGAGCCGTGCTTGTGCCACCAGTGCACCCTGCCATTGTCGCTAGTGCTGCACCTCTCCGTGGCGACACAGAAGATCTCAAACTTGTCCTTGAGATGGGTTTAAAAAAAAATTAGGTGGCATAGACTCAAGGTCATATTTTGGTTCTTGTGGACTTGTTCTAATTTTTTCAACTTCAGTTTGAACTTGCACCTGGGGATTTAGTGGTCTGTTCCACGGTCAACACCTGACTCGACTGCTGCTGCTGAGCCTCTCTATCGATTCTTCCACACATAAAAGTCAATTTGATTTGATTCCTGTGCAGTCCATCAAGTGAGGTCTATGTGCAAAGTCACCTTTTGTGTTTTTTAAAAAGTGTGTTTGCTGTGAATAAATCATTGAACATACAAAATCCTTTGATCTCCAGCCTCCTTTCTGTCACCAAGACCAGACTTTTTGACTACCATTCCTTCCTCAGTCCTTCAGGATGTTGTTCTTGGTCAGTAACAAGTGTTGACGCTGCACACTAGTAAGTAGCATTTGGATGGAAAAAATTTTAACTGGCACATGGCTTTGTGGTAGCTTCCTTTTTTTGGATTGTTTTTAAGCATTCTTCCATAATCTTATCCCTCATAATCTCAGTTGCTCTGAGTTTGAGGGTCTCAGCTTTTACCTGGGAAGCAAAAAGTTCTACACACACATACCAAATTTACTAATCCTGGCCCTGTACAAACCTTCCTCAGGGTAACACTACTGTTCAGAGACAGAAGCATGTGACTCAAGCCAGAAACCAAGGTCTACTTGGATTTGCTTGTCCACCAGATCTAGGTAGACTGAAATTCCCAAGTATATCCCCAAATAAAGGCTCTTCTAGAACAGAGAAGCCCTCACTTTCTCTCCTTGTTTATGGGAACAGCTGTAGATCCTGGAAGGCACTAGTGATGCAGGGAGGACGTGGAGGAAAGCGAAGGCCTGTCATACCTTTGAGAGCCTCATTGATGTAACTGCGAAGGTAGTAGATCCTTATGGTGTCGTTAAGATCCAGATCCCGCTGGGACACTCCATTCTCTGTTATGTAAATTGGTGGGTTGTTGTACTCCTCCTTCAGCCAGTTCAAAATCCTCCTGAAGCCAAAAGGTGTCACCTTTAGCCAGAAGGAGGCAGAATCTGGCCAGGATCGATCTGTGATGGAAGCAACTCCCCTGAGAAGTCAAACCAAAGATTAGATCTTGTGTAGGTCCCAAGAGACCATTCCCATAAAATACAAAACATGGCGTATAGTAGAGAAAGCCTTAAGTGTATTCAGCATTGGGTGTCCTAACTGAACTCAGGAGTGTCCAAGAGTCAAAAGGAGCCTCAAGGTCTCCTTGCTCACTGGTCTTAGTTCTACCACTCAAGGCTGATGGAACTTTGAAAAAACTCTGTAGGCAGTCTGTCCTTGCTCACTACCTGTGGTAGAGCGGGCTTTCTCCGAAGCCAGGTCCTGCAGGGGTCTCTTGGACAAGCCACACCTCAGAGTAGATGTGAAAGGGTCACGTAGCTATAATCTAACAGTATGCAAATACCCTGCCTTCAGAACAGGTCCTCTCAGGCTGCCTGTGTGGAGCCAACTCAACACGCAGGTCACAGGAGCCATGGACAGTCAGTTTGGGGTCTTCATCTGTGTGAGTGCTTCCAGGATGACACACCTTCGTTGAAAGATCTCAGTTGGTACTCTCTGAGCTCAAAGTGCCACTCTTATTTCTCCGGAATATAGAATACTTAGGAGTGGGATTATTTGATCATATGGCATTTCTAGTCCCAGCTTTTTTCAAGAAATACATACTGAAGGCAGTTTTTTAGGAGAACTTGCTGTGCTCCCTCATCCGCAATAATGTGCTGATGGATATAAGGAGGAAAAAAAGGGGGGAGGGGCTGGGCAGGGAGAAAAGTGCAACAGTGAATGAATGAAAAGTCAAAATCTCTGTAAATGTTCATTAAAATAAAATTTTTAAAAAAAGAAAACCATACTGTGTCCACAGTGGTTCTCTTAGTTATACAATCCCACCAATAATGTATGAGTTCCATTCTCCTCTTAACCTCTACAGCATTTGTTTTTTCTGGGATTTTTTTGTTAGGCTTTATTTTTTTTTTAACTTATTATTTTTTGTGTGTGTACCGTCAAATCAGATCTGACTGGTACAGGAGGAGATTGTCCCTCCTTCTCCAGCAGAGCATCTGGTGGATTTGAACCATATACCTCTGGGATTGCAGTGCAGCTTGTTGTCACTAGGCCACCAGAGCTCCCTCTAGGCTTTTTAAAATTTTTTTATTTTATTTTTTTATTATTTGTGTGTACCGTCAAATCAGATCTGACTGGTACAGGAGGAGATTGTCCCTCCTTCCCCGGCAGAGCATCTGGTAGATTGGAACCGTGCACCTCTGGGATTGTAGTGCAGCTTCTTGCCACTAGGCCACCAGAGCTCCCCTAGGCTTTATTGTTTTACAATAATTGCCTTTTTCTTTCCCCCCAGGGGAAGATGTTATTTCATTGTGGTTTTTATTTGCACCTAATGACTGGAATGATAATTATGCATAATTATATATTGCATATATCAAGTCCTCTTGACAGCTTTTTTCATTTCTTTTCTTCAAACATACTAGTACCAAGGGATTTATTTGTCCTTTACTTTGCTGATTCTTTCTTCCACTGATTTAATTCTGTGTGTCCTTGCATTGAGTTCTCTATTTGATATTTTATTGCAAATCTTCTAAATTTCTAATGTTGCTTTTATTAAGACTTCTGGATGGTCTGTTTGCTTTATCATTTTCTAAAATTATGTCCTGAATTATTCTAGGGTTTTGTCTGTATTCTCCTTTATCTCTTTAAAGATCCTCCATACACATCTTTTAAAATTCTGATTCAGTAATTCTATTACCATTTATTTCTCAAGTTTTTTGTCCCTTAATTTTGCTCATTTTTTAACCCATTTTATACTGTTTCTTCCTATTTGCTACTTTAGGATGTCTCTGAGGAACTAAGGTGTTGGTTTACTTATAAATGTATTTCTTTACTGATTGCATGAATGTCTAATTTGTACTTTTTTGTTTTATTTTTATGTATGTAGAGCTTTGTCTCTTTATATTATCTTTCTTTCTTTGCATTAGTTTTTATTTTGTAGTTCTGGTCTCTCTGTGACTTTGCTGTTTTTTCTTAGGGAGCTCTGGTAGCTTAGTCCATAGGGAACTGCACTGCTTACCCAACGGCAGTGCTTCTCTGGTGGTTCCAATCCCCCAGCAGCATCTTGGGAGAAAGATGGATAATCTCTGCTGTTATTTACAGCCTGTGAAAACCCACTGGAGGGTCAGCTATGAGTTGTTTTCTACTTAAAAGCAATGAGATTCTGGGTTTTTGGTTTGTATTTTTTTTTTTTAATTGGCTGGTGTGACTTTTCACTTATCAGTGGGTGTGGCTTATGGGTCTGTCTGTCTGGGTTGAGTGGAGTTATGGGAGCGAGTTCTTTCCCTGATATTAAGTGACAAGTGTCAGGTTGTCAGGGTCCTCCCACAGTCCGTGTGGGACCATCAGGTTATTCAGAATTGGCGTTAGAAGTTAGAACATTCAGGAGATCAGCCTTCACAGGACATCCTTATAGCCACTTAGAGGGTATGCTGCCCAAATGGATATGGCAGACCTACAGTGTTCACAGGAACTGGTGCCTCAGTATGTGGTGGGGTATTGGGGTGGGGGTGTTCATGGTGCTTACAGCCTGCAGGAACTGTTGGGGTGTGAGATGTGTGACGCTGCTGGTGGATGGATGCTGGAGGAGGGCTCTGCATCATGCTGTCTGGAAGTGGTGCAGATGGCATCTGTCAGGATGCTGACCTGGAGAGGTGGTGTGGCTGTCCAGCCAGTCACCAGGGCATCCACGCAGGGAGTGTGCATGCTGTAGTGCACACTGCCAGCTGGCAGATGCTTGGGATGAGGGTACCTGGGCCACCAGGTGGGTGACATGGCACCACCAGCAGATGGATGGGTGTGCGACGGGGGTAGGGTCTTTTCCTCTGACTGCTGGTCTAGCAGTGGAAGCATACACAGCTGACTGCAGGGGGACATGGCTGTGGCTGCTCAGGGCTGGTCCAAGTGGGCATGTGCCTCCAGCTTCAGGTGTGATGGTGCAGGAGAGTGTGCTTCTGGGATGGATGGGGGGCCTCTAGTCCCAGGTCCAGCAGCATGTGAGCGTGCACCGCAGGACAGGGAGGGGACCGGTATGATCAGCAGCATGTGAGCGTGCACCTGAGCATGCACCATGGGGTGGGTATGTATGGTCAGCAGCGTGTGACCACGTACTAAAAGACAGGTAGGGGATGGGCAGGGGCATGTTAAGTCTCTGGTCTCTGCTCTGATGGTGTGGGAGTGTGCATGTGGACCATCTGACCAGGGTAGCAGGAGGGTCCCCCACTCGTCCCAGGAGGACAGATAGGATTTGTAAACTTTTTCCTAAAAGGAAATGAAGATGATGTTTTTCTTTTTACTTGAAAATACGTTCAAATCAAGTCTTCCTGTCTGAAAGGGAAGCACCATGGAAATCTTGGTCTGAGCTCCTCTCAAATTGACAGAAATTTTATATGGAGTCTGAACAGCGGACAGTCACCCTGTGTGACAGCAGGAGGCGGATCCTCGGCTGTGCCGGCCTCTCTGGGTGCAGGTTCATCCTCAGAAAGGACTCCAGAGCTCTGGGGCTGGCTTACCTGTCTGCATCGAAGGAGGAGATCCAAGAATCGTAGTTGAGATTGTAGGCCAGGACGGTGGTGTAGTGATTGAACCCGAAGAAGTCATAGGTGCCATTGATCCTCCTCTTCTCACTCTCGGTGAATTCCGGGAGCCTGGAAGGAGCCATTAAGCTGGGCTGTAGAGAGCCTGCTTTGAGGAGAGGAAGGCTAGGTGGGGTGGGAGGGGGGACCCCAGTGGTGAATGGTTGGCCCTCACCAGAGGGGGCAAGATATCTGCAGGTGGCTTTAAATCAGCACAGCTAGGCTCCATGGGAGACCCTGGGCCGTGGCAGGAACTCTTACTTCTGACTTGTTTTCACTCAGTTCGTTTGTGTGACTTCTGAGCTCTGAGTATGTCACTGTGGGACCATCACTGGTCCCCCGGCCCACACCACACCTCCATCTTCAGCTGGTTAGTCCAGACCCAGCATGTGGGCCCTGGAATCAGGCTGCCTACCTTCAAATCCCCACCACAGAACAGCTAATCTTGTGTCAGCTTGCTCTTTGTGTCTCATTTCACTCGTGTTTAAAATAGAAATAACACTACCAATAAAAGATGCATAAATATTAGTTGGTGATGTTGCATTAAGCTCCTCATCAGGGAAGAGGGGTGTGTGAACTAGCGCCCTGTACTGGCCACATACCTAAGCCACGCCTAGCAGTGCCCAGTGTGGTCCACACCAGGACATGAGGTGGGGCACTGCTAAGGGATGGGCACCCAGGGACAATTTACCGGCTCTTCTGAAGAGTAACAACCTAACAGCAGCTTGTCATCTCATCAAGTGTGAAGTGACTGCAAGGCCGTGCTCTCTCCTCTGTTCCCTCCAGGTCTGTCCTTCGTCCCCTGGATCTGTGCCCACTGAGTCAATCTCTCCCAGCCTGGGTATACTGAGTCAATCTCTCCCAGCCTGGGTATACTGAGTCAATCTCTCCCAGCCTGGGTATGCCCCCTAGGATCTGTCAGCCCTCCCAGTCTGTCCCCACTGGGTCTATTCCCTCCGCCATCCCAGGGTCTGTCTCCCTGGGTCTGTCATGCCCCCAGGGCCAGGGGTCTATCTCCCTGCCCCCAGGCTGACCCCACTCCCGATTCTGTCCCCACTGGGTCTATTCCCATGCCCACCCTTCTTCCCACCACTCTTACCTAGACTTGTTGAGGCCTGCGGCCAGGCTCCTGTCATGAATCCGCGTCTTCATCACCTCACTGTAGTCTCCATTCTTGAAGATTGGATGTGCAAACCAGCCTCCCATAAACTGCATGTGGAGTCGAAGACAGTGCCAACCAGAAGCCGTACTGCCCTCTTGAGGGTCCCTGTGCTCCCCACCCCCAATCGTAAACTCCCCTTCTCCAGGGCCTGTACACGGTGAAGCCCGAGTACCCCTGGGTCTGTCTCCTCACGTCTGTCTGTGTCTCCTTAACTGCCTCGCTGGGGCAGCTGTGTCCCCAGCATCACCCTGAAGGACCAGTGGGGTCCAGGACCAGCTGTACTCCCTGAATGCTGCCTTGCTGCCCCTGTAAGAGACCTGTGTCTGTACTGTTCACAGAAGAGGCCCCAAGGCCCTCTCACTACCTGCTAGAAAGGACTTTTCAATTAATGGCTTACTGTCTCCTCTCCAAATGTCCATAGGTCAACCAGGACTTTCTGGGAAGGAGTAACTCGCATGGCTTTCATGTGGCTGCCCAGGCTACGATAATCCTGCCCTTCATGGGCTCTGCACTCACGGCCCTGAAGTGGGAAACTTTCCCTCTGTTTCATTTAATGGGAGTCAAAGTCATCCTTGGAGCCCCTGATGATGCAGAGAACTGAAAGTTTGGAGATCCAGTCCACTCCGTGGTGCCTCAGAAGAAATGCCTAGTGATCGACTTCTGGGAAATCAACCCTAAGTTCCACTCTGATAACAAGCAGGGTTAGTTTGAGTCAGGGCTGACTAGGCTGCTAGGCCAGAGGGGACACACAGCCCCCAAACACTCTGATGCTGTGGGACTGAGGACCCTCTATCCTCCAAATCCTCCCCTGATACCACAAATGTGGGATGAGGGCTTCCTTCCGTTCCAACTCAGGTACGAAGTTTGGAATGTCACATCCTCCTGCTAGCAGAAATGTTAAAGCACTCTAAGCCAACCAGTAAGATCTGTCTGTGGAAACGTCTTTACTTGTGCTGTGTCTACCGTTGTCCTGGGCTGCACTAGGCCAGCACACAGTGAGGGAACATCCACAGTCCAGCATTCCCTGAGGCCTGGGGAACCTCTCCCGTAGGTTTTCAGAAGCAGTTAACTGCTTGGGAGGACAATGCCCAACTTCCTCCTGTGGAGCAGCTGGTGGATTCAAACCACATGTCTTTGGGTTGGCAGTGCAATTCCTTACCAGTAGACCACCAGAGCTTCTTATGAGCAGCTAGTGGGCTCAAATGATTGATCTTTGATCTAATAGTCAAGCACTTCATTACTGTGATACCACAGGTCCTTAAAGTCTTCTGCTTGAGCAAGTAAAGTTAGATGTTGCCACCTAGTGGTGACGTGTGACATTGCATCCCAGGTCTACTAGAGACGAAAGTCAAACAAAATATTTTTTTTTAAACAGAAAAGATTTAAAATGCTATACTTTCTGTTAGCGTCAAATCAATGTTACATATTATGAATTATATACATAAATAATTTCTTAAGAATTAAGAAAAAATTAGGGAGCTCTGGTGGCCTAGTGGCAAGAAGCTACACTGCAATCCCAGAGACACCTGGTTCAAATCCACCAGATGCTCTGCTGGAAAAGGAGGGACAATCTCCTCCTGTACCAGTCAGATCTGATTTGACGATACACACAAAAAATAATAAAATTTTTTAAAAATTAAGAAAAAAATGAATCTCCAAGAATTTAAATTGTTCTTTCATCATAGCAAAACTGTAAAATGGGAAGAGGATGTCTATTTCACAGATGAGAAAATTAAAGTACAAAAAGGTGAGGCAAGGGTGAAAAACAACGTATACGAATTTTATGAACTTTGTACGTAAACCAGTATAAAATTTAAAAAAAATTTAAATATTTAAAAGAAAAAAATGTGAGGCAATTTTCTCAAGCTCACAAAATTGAGAAGTCAGAGCCTAAATCCTAAGCCCTCAATTTGCAATCTCATTTTTCTTTCCAAGCGTAAGAATCCCTCCCAGAGGGCAGACAGACCTGAACATATCTCCTGGCCGCCTCCACATCCTCCTGGTTGCTGGGGTTTCTGGGCTCAGCCCAGTCACTGTTGATGGTGATGGAAATGATGCCCCCTTGCTTGGCTCGGTACACGTCGTTATACAGATGCCAGGCTTCGGCATGAGCCTTTATGACGTTGTGGCCAGCAATGTAGGGGGCAGTGCCAGGCCTAAAGGAGATTCCTGGAAACAGACATAGATTTCAACAGAAAACAGATGTGGCTCGGAGGGTTCCCCTCTGCCAGAGGGCAGCGGTTGTCTGGGGGAAAGTGCACGTGTTGCAGCTAGGAAGACTACATACAGGTCAACACCTGACTCCACCTCTCTGCATAAATCAGTCAGACTTTCCCTAAAACAATGTGTGCACAGAGCCCTTAGCCTGGCTCTGACAGACAGAAAGAAATTGGTGAGTGAGGCTTTCTTTTCCCCTTTCCCAGGAGGATGACCTGTATGTCTCAGGACAGTGTGAGTCCCAGCAGTGGCCGTGCTGAAGCTCTTTGAAGCCCACCGTGAAAGGGAGAGTTTAAAGTATGGCTGGTGTGAGCAGCAGACCCTAGAAAGTCCGTGAGGTCAATTGCTCTGAGGAAGCCCCCTCCTGTGTGCTGAGTCACCACAGTGCCGGGCAGGTGCTGAAAGCAGGTACACCTGAAGATGATTTTCCAGCATTTCCAGGTGATCCAAGGAATCACATAAATGAACACAAATTTACCTTCATAAACTCAGAACTAGAGGAAAAGAAAACTGGCATTTTTCTTAAGGGGCAAGAACTGATCCACAGTCTACACAAAATCCTTCACATCAGAGGTGTTCTGGAAGTTAAAATTTTCATGCATTTTGGAAAAATAGTAAACAGCATCATTTACTACTGACAAAAAAATAACCTTCTGCAGAATCCAAGAAAGTTCTCCAGAGTTTAGGAATAGCACACCAAGTGAGAGAAAGACCTCATGGCGGCTCTAGTCGGGGTTGACAGTGTGACATGAGCCCAGGTGAGCCAAGTGATGAGAACTGTGTGGGTTACAAGTTGTGGAAAGCTGGCTGGGGACTTGTATTGCCCAGTGAGCTGTCTCTTCTGCCATCTATTATTAGATCATGTCCCTGGTCCCCAGAGGAACATCCCAGCAGAAGGTTAAGTCACAGAGGAAAGAAGTAAAGGTATGGCGGGGCACTGAGCTATGAAGCTCTGGTTTTACTAACATGGCGTTGGGGAAGGAGCCTTGAGCTCCACACTGAACAGCCTCAGGGATCAGGCAGGGGAACAGGCAGGCTGAGGCATAGCTGGGCCTTCTCTGTCCTCTCCCTTCACTCAGGATGTCAGGTTTTTGTGGCAGTAAAAAAAAAAATTACTGTCATTTAAGCAAACTTTCTTGCACATATTGTAGAGTTTTTTCCAAGGCATCTTGAAATTGGGTTTTGCCCCCCTAAGGATTCATGCACTTTTCTTTCCATATCAGTCACAACACATAGTGTCTGACTGTCCATTCATCCCATACTGTTTTCCTTTTCACTCAGCTTAATAAGTGTTTATAATTTCTTAATTCATTTTCTACTGCTTCTCCACTTCCCCTCCTTGGTAGCTATTCTAGAATGATTCTCTCTGTATGTAAATCTCCCTCCAGCTTTTCATAACAGTGGTCTTATACATTATTTGCCCTTTTGTGATTCATGCCCTTTAAACTCGTTCATGTTGTATAGTGTTTCATTAATTTGCCATTGTTTTTCAGTGTTGCATACTACGCCATCATGTGAATGTACAATTGTTTCTCTACCCATTCATTTGTTGACAGGCTTTAAAAATTCCACTTGCCATTCCAAAGAGCTTTTACCTGGAGCTGCTGTTCCATAGCCATAGCCCTGGGAAATAAAAGTGAAGGGTTCATTCATTGTGATCCAGAACTTGACCTTGTCCCCCAGCTTCTGGAAGAGCACATCTGCATAGTCTCTAAACCGCTGGATGATGGTTTCGTTCTCCCAGCCGCCAACATCCTGCAGCGCCTGGGGCAGGTCCCAGTGGTACATGGTCACCTGTGAAAAAGGCAGACATTGGTGGCATCAGCCCTGCTGTCCACACCCGGCATCCCTAGAAAAGGTCTTTCACAGGAAGTCATTGGCACCAACACACAAACCTGCTGCTAAAGCTGATGGTGAATCATGGGACAAAAAGTCTGAAGGATTCTCCCTCACCCCCAGGGGAGAGAAATACCTAGTCCACAGGTGCAGCAGCATCATTTATTTAAGGTGTAAGAGAGTCACATATCTGGATTTGAAAAGTCTGATTTGAATCCTGCCTCTGCTCCTGTAATAGCTGTATATGATCCTAGGCTCAGGCATCTCAACTTCATGGAGTGGTGGGGACTGGATCATGAGGGAGAGAATGTGATGGGCACCCTGATTGTGTTCACATGATCACCATAATCAGTACTCACAGAAACACCAGTCAGGAAATCAATATATGTTTTGCACTTGACAAATCTGTACGGAACCTCTTGAAAGTACTAAAGAGCAAGAATGTCACTTTGAAGACTAAGGTGCACCTGACCAAAGTCATGCTGTTTTCTCGTATGCAAGTAATTACCTCATATGCAAGAAAAGTTGGGCAGTGAAAAAAGGAAGACCAACAAGAATTATTGTCTTTGAACTGCGATATTGGCAAAGAAAATACCACAGATTGCCAAAAGAACAAACAAATCTGTCTTGGAATCAGGACAGTCAGATGTGTCTTGGACGTCAGGATGGGGAGAGTTCATCTCACAATCTCACATGCTTTTGGCATGATATGAGGAGGGGTCAATCTCTGGGGAAAAGATATCATGTTTGAGAAAGTAGAAGATCAGCATAAAAAGGGAACCCTCTCAATGAGGCAGGTTCAGACAGTGGCCTTGATAATGGGCTGAGCACAGCAGAGATGCAAGGATGGCACAGAAGTATTTTTTACAGAGAGTCACTGTGAGGCAGAGCCGACTCAACAGTGCCCAATAACAACAGTAACAATCTGGTCTCAAGCACTTTTCTACTCTCATGCCAAGCACCTAACAATAGCTAACCTTCAACCTACCAAGAGGAAGGGAAATTACTGCTTAAAGGTTCTGACTTTCTGTTTAGAGGGATGAAAATGTTTGTAAACGGATAGTGCTGATGGTTGTACGGCATGGTAAATGCAATTAAAGTCACTGAAGTGTGTACTTTTAAAATTAATGAAATGACAAAAGTTTTGTTCTGTGTGTCACAAGAAAAAGAAAAAGCCCTGCATTTTTGTCTTCACAGTCCCCGTGGCCCCTGCCCAGCTGCCTCCCCCCCTCCCCAGACCACAGCCCCCTCACCTGGGGCTGGATGCTGGCGGCCAGCAGAGCATCCACGAGCCGCACGTAGTAGTCCAGGCCTGCGTCGTTGATGTACCTGGTCGTCCCATCTGGGAGGATGCGGGACCAGGAGATGGAGAAGCGATAGGCGGACACGCCCAGGTTCTGCAGCACCTCCACATCCTCGGCAATCTTGTGGTAACTGTCACAGGCCACATCTCCGTTGTCATCATTCCCCACTCGTAGAGGCGTGTGAGAAAACGTGTCCCAAATACTGAGTCCCTTGCCATCTTCTCGCCAAGCACCTTCAATCTCAAGAAGTCAAGAAAGGTCTAATGAAGCAATGTACATGAGTCGTTTACGAGTTCCTTGGTCTCTCAGCAGCTGGGTCCCAAATGGGGTAGAAGTCAACATCACCTTCTCTGGGAGCCTTCTATGCCCACCCCTCCAGTTTCTGAATGCCAACATTTTCTGTGCACACGTGTGGTGCCCACTCAACTACCAGCTGACTGGCTTCCCACATGACTGTGGGAACGTGTCTTTTATCTCAGCACCCCAGCCTGGCACGAGATGGGGTTCAGTAAAGACCTGAAGCAAGAAACCCCATCCTTCAGCAAACCATCACCAACTAACCCAGTGACACCCACCAGGCAGAAGGCAGGATTTCCAACCAGGACACGTGTCTGCCCCTTCCCCACCTACCCGGGCATGCTATGGGTAAATGCCTCATCAGACAGGTCTGCCCTCTGGATTTAGTTTATTTTTCAGTTTTATCTCTTTTTTAGAAGTTTCTCAGTGCAACAATAAATGAATGGAAATCCAAAATCTCTGTAAATGTTCACTAAAATTAATAAAATAAAATTTTAAAAAAGTTTCACAAAAGAGAGAATCAATCTAGTATGCTAAACAGGGAAGGAAAGTGCTCAAGTAGAAAATTAATAGATAGATAAAGAACATTTACTGTGATGGAGGAAGAAAAGGACAATATAAAATGAATGATCAGAAATTGTGTGTAACATAATTGGTATTGTGTCACAGAATATGCATGAATGATTGATTAACTGACTGGAGGAACATTTCTAATATGCTTTGTAAACATTCACTCATTTTAATTTTTTTTAAAGTAAGATAGAGGGGAAACCAGTAAATATGTGTAGAAAACTAGCCAATCAATTATGATTAACTATACAATGTTATCAATGAGAACATAAAATTAAAATAATCATATAATCTTTAAACTAAATAGCTGTAAAAGAAATAGTGTCTAAATGACCTGACTGAAAGACATTCTCAAATTAAAAATAAGTGTGAAAAAGAAAACTTAAAAAAAAAAAAAGAAGTTTCTCTACATTTTACTGTGATTTTCATCAAAGCTGACAAAGAGATTGGTCTTCACTCACTCATTCACTCATATCATTCTCCTCCCTCTCTTCCCATTCACTCTTGTCCTGGTCCAGATTGACTATCATACACATACTGTCTAATCATCCCTCCCTTTCAGACTGTCTTCCCCTCACTCATTATGCCCGTGCAGTAGTCATTATCTGGCCATTTTTTCTGGATTTACTGTAACACAGCTCAGCCCGTACATGGTGTCTGTGTGGTGAGAGAAAGGCCAGCCCTCAAGAACGCGCATCCATGACACTCAGCAAACAATTTTCACCTTTGCTTCTATCGCTTCAAGTGTTTCTGCTGACTCACACAGTCAGACTAGCCAGGCTGCTTTGACCAAAATGGGGACGCGAAGGAGCCAGGCTGTGAGGGAGGAGGACCCCAGGGCTGCCCCCTGCCCGCACTCTGCCCTTCCTTGCCACAGGGCAGCCGTCAGACTCCCGTCAAGCAGACTCTCCTCTAGCAGCCCATCCCCTGGCCCATGGCCTGGTGCCTGGCAGGTGTGCAGTGAGTGTTCCTGACTTTCTCACCTGATAAGCAGCAGAAGCCGCACTCCAGACGAAGCCATCAGGAAACTGCCCATAGAGAAACTCGTCTTCCTTGGGCAGTGGCATGCCGTTGTTGGTAATGAGCTCTGTGTAGTAACTGGCAGAGGATCTTGGGGTTCGAGGCCTGTTCATGTCATTGAAATCAACGTGGTACAGTCCAAACTTGATGGTGTAGCCATTCACCCATTCAAAGTTGTCCATCAGAGACCATGCCACGTATCCTCTAAGGTCAATGCCATCAAGTCTGTAGGCTGGGGATATTCCAGGAACAGAGAAGAGAGCTTTACACCACGAGACAGGATCACCATTATGCCTGGTCAGCACAAGGCGCGACTTCTATACCATCTATACCAGCCACACACAGGGGGAGGTTGCCCAACAAACAGGTCATCTTGGTTGGCTTTCTGTTTGCTGATACTAAAACCCACATGATAAGTATTAATGAGAGATCTTTCTAAAACCAGATTTTCTTATTAGGGTAAAAGAACATGTTTCAACATTAAAATCTCAGCCGACCTTCACATTTTCACATTTTTGTTTCTTTGCTTCCCCCCTACCCCTTGTTGTGTGCTGTCAAATTGGATCCAACTGGCACAGGAGGAGACTGCCCCTCCTTCTCCAGGGAAGCATCTATCTGGTGGATTCGAACTGCACATCTTTGAGACTGCAGTGCAGCTTCTTGCCACTAGGCCACCAGCACTCCCTGTGACCTTCACATTTTAAAAATTAAGCACAAAAAAAAAAAATAAATAAAAATAAAAATAAAAATTAAGCACAAAAGCGTGACTTAGAGAAGGGTTTCTTGCCCTGAGATCCATGGAGTCTACTAAGTTTTGTGAGAACAGAAATGTATCTATTGGATTTACTGCAATATTTCTGTAGCTAGACTGTCACATAATAGTTGCTCAATAAATCTTTGCTGGACAAAGCAAATAAATGAACCTACAAAAGGATTCCTCAGACCATGGTGTATGCACACATTTGTGCTTTATTTCTGGGGAGATGATCATATTTTGATTTTGTTTGCAAAATCAGTATAAATAATGGAGTGATATATAAATAAGATCAATATAAATCAATAATAAAATAAAATTATTTATCCCAAACAGGTAAAGAATTCTGGAATTAGGGCTTAGCAAAAAAGACAACAAGCTGATGGTTTGTACATCCCTTCAGGCCCTTGGCATCTGGACTTAGAGGGATCTTGTGAAAGGGTCAGGACCCTCCCCTACCTTTCAAAGCTTCATTGATATAGGTCTTGTGGTAAAATATCCTGTCGGTGTCCTCCACTTTTGGATTCTCCAGCCCGACTCCATTTTCGGTGATGTAAATGGGGATGTTGCCATACTCTTCCTTGATCCAGTTCAGCAGCCTTCGCATGCCCCAAGGCACAGCTCTGTTCACGGCTGTGGGAGGCCACGAAGGGTCCTCCTCCTCCGCCAGCTGCTGGTCGTCCTCGTAGGAAGGTGGGTTCAACCTGGGTGTTTTATGCTGCACGATCCTGGTGTAATAGGTGTTGAGGCAGAAGACATCAGCCGTGCCCATAATGTACCTCTTCTCGTCCTCAGTAAAGCTCGGCAGGCGGGAGGTGGCCAAGTGCTGGAGTTCGCTCCTGTTCCCCACACTCCACTTCATGGCATCAGGGTAGTCTCCGTTTCTGTAGATGGGGTGGGCGAACCAGCCCAGGGTGAACTGCAGCACCCGGTCAGCGGCTTCCACGTCTCTGGGGAGCCCTGGAGACTTGGGCTCGGCCCAGTGTGAGCTGAGGCTCAGGGAAACGACTCCCTTCTGTGTCTGCCTATACTTCTCAGAATAAGTGTGATAGGCCGTGGCGTGAGCTTTGATAACCGCGTGGGCTATCCTGTAGGGTGCCCAGCCTGGGTCCTTCACGCTTGGAGGGAACTCTCCCAAGCCATATCCCAGCCATACCTGGTACAGGGGCTCATTAAATGTTATCCAGAACTTGACTCTGTCACCAAAGGTCTGGAAGCAGAAATCTGCATAGCTGTTAAACAGGTCGATCAAGGACGGATTATCCCAGCCTCCGATGTCCTGGAGAGCTTGTGGCAGGTCCCAGTGGAACAGCGTCACCATGGGCGAAATGTTACTTTGCAGCAGGCCATTGATCAGCCTGTTGTAATAATCCACACCATGCTGATTGATAGAAGTGTTCCTCCCTGTTGGGAAAATCCGAGACCAGGAGATAGAAAAGCGGTAAGCCTTGACCTTCAAGGCTCGGAGTATACTCAGATCAGCGTCCAGCTGGTGGTAGCTGTCACAGGCTATGTCTCCAGTGGAGTTGTCTTTCACGCTGTTCCCTGGCGTGTGGGTAAAGTTATCCCAAATGCTGGGGCCTTTGCCATCAGCATCCCATGCACCTTCAATCTGGTAGGCTGAGGTGGATACACCCCACACAAAATCGTCCCGGAACGTGCCGTGGTAGAACAGATCTCTCTCGAATACAGGCTGGTTGGAGAACTTTTCCCAAACCACTTTGGCCTTGGAGGGCACTGCAGATGGAAAGGTGAAGGTCCCAATTTTAGGGGGGACATTTGGTGTGATAGGTGGTATCAGCCGGTTTACTGCCTTGGGGAGGAAACCGTTTCTTTCAATGATGCTGGTGAAGAAGTAGGCTGACCTTCTGGGAGTCCTGGGTCTGCTGCTGTCGCCGAAGTTGACGTGGTGCAGCCCAAACCTCTGGCTGGAGCCAGACGAGCCTTCAAAGCCATCGATGAAGGAGCGAATAATGTAAGAACGAACATCCACCAAGTCCTTCTTGATTGCTGTGGAGGAAAACATAAATTTGGGCTTATTTTAAAATATCGGTTATGTGGTTAGAGGAGACCTGGCAGAGCCAAAAAAGGTTAACTTCTTTATTTCCCTTCCAGAATGAATAGAAGGAAAATCTAGGAGGCCCCCATGAGACATCAGACTATTCTACGGCCATAAATCTTAATCCAAAGGCATATCCCTTTTTTATAGGTAAAAAGAAAATGTGTATAGCATTGGTTAGCATCAAGACTCCTTGGTTTTATGTAGCTTGTTTTTGTTGTTGTTGTTATGTGCTGAGTCGTTTGCGACTCATAGCGACCCTATGTACAACAGCCCTAAACCCTGCTCTATCCTGTGCCAATCGCACTGTCTCTGACACTCCCATCCCGATTACCCCAGTCACTGAATCAATCCACCTTTTGTGTTTCTTCATTTACACTTAATAATAAAAAAAAATTATCACATACTCTGTAGAAAGTAAAATATATCCCAGGCTCACGTGTAATTTTTCAGACAACAGTCTAGTTGAGTCAACCAATGTTGAAAGCCAAATATAGCAAATGACTGGCTGCGTCAATCTGGACCGAGAAAGTGTTAAGTCTTGTTTTTCTTCTTTAAGTCCTGATTTTCTTGGACTCCCCAACCTCTCAATGAATGTACTGATTACATAAAAAAGAAGATAAAGTTTCTCAGTCAATTGATTAAGCACCAAGCACTATTTTGCTCCCAGTGCATGTTAAGCCCCGGCCACGCAAAGACAAAGAAAAGTCTCACAACTTACTGGGCGGAGGGGAGAAATGAGCCAGGAAGAGGCCTTGGTTCTAACAGAGAGCACTGGTGGCATAGTGGTTAGAATGCTTGGCTTCTCACCTCAAGATTGGCAGTTTGCACACACCAGTTGCTCTTTAGAAGAAAAGATGTGGCAGTCTATTCCAGAAACGTTTAAAGCCTCAGAAGCCACGTGGGGCAGTTCCACCCCATCCAGTCAGGTGGCTATGAGGCAGAATCACCTCAGTTGTAGCAGGGAGGCATGGCTGCTACCAAGGGTGCTGTATCCACTGAGGCACTTAATCTCTCAGCGCTTCACTTTTTACAATTCTCCATGAAGATGAAATTGGCCCTAATTTACCGCACAAGGCTGTTTCCAAGCTCACATAAGATCTTGAAGAGTTTTGGCAGTAATAGAAATGACAGAATTGTAAACTTGGTGATGAGAGGAGAACAAATATCAGCAAGTGTAAGGTCTCACAGGATACGTCTCCGTTCTCATGTCACTGCCCATAGCAGGCGCCACCAGGTAACTCTTGCGGAATTCTGACAAGGTTTGGAAAGTTTCTTAACAAGCCTGAGGCAGACGCCTAACCACCACCAAGTGATGTGGCTGACATATAAGATCAAATCTATCTTTCTACTTGGAATAAACAGACATAAAACAGACTGTTAGGTAACAACGAAACTGAGCACAGTGATTAATTGGATCAGAATTAATGATGAGACTATACATTTTCTAGCTAGTTAAATTAGATAGGTTGGTGTGGCTGGGGCAACAAGGGACTGTTTTATTGTTCAAAGTCCCATCCTAAGTGCCCTCATACCAACCTATAATGCCCTTATGTTCCTATGTTTTAAGTGATTTTCTGTTGGCTTCTGTTGTCTGTGAATTACTTGTGCAAAATCACAATGCTGGTGCAATATTGTACCCCTATTCACATGGAATTTACTGCCTCTGAAAACTCAGTGGAGGGACAGCTATATGTTGGTTCTGATTTGACAGCATGCAATACCACTAACACCACAGCTAACTTTTAAAATTTCTGGCACATTGTACATCCATGTTTATAGCTGCATTATTCACAATAGCAAAGAGATGGAAGCAACTCAAGTGTCCATCAACAGATGAATGGATAGAAAAACTATGGTACATTCAACCAATGGAATGTTATGCAGGACTGAAAAACAATGAACTCGTAAAACATTACACAGCATGGGTGAGGCTGGAAGACATTATGCTGAGTGAAATGTTTCAGACACAAAAGGACAAACAGTGTATAACACCACTATTAGAAAACAGGGCTGATATGAAGGGGCAATTAGGATGAGAATGGGAAAGAGTAGAAAGATAATGAACACTGCAGTAGATCAGATGAGGGGAAGAACGATCTGAAAGGAATATGTGATTAGGCATTATATGTATGACAACAAACTGGAACAAGGGGTGCATTGTGGGGTAGGCTGGAGAAATGAGGGAAGAAAACATGCGATGAGGAAAAAAAAAGAAAATATTTTCTATGTTAAAAAAATAAAAATGTCTGGCACATAACTGGCACCTAATAAGTATGTGTTAAATAAATGCATGAGATGGTAAAGAGATGTGATGGATGGAGAGGACTCAGATGAGCAGAAAGAAACGAGACTGCAGGACAAAGAATGAGAGAATTAGGAGACTGATGTGAGGGAAGGGAATTATTATAAGCATAAATAATAATGTTTGAGGGGAGCTCTGGTGGCCTAGTGGCAAGAAGCTGCACTGCAATCCCAGAGGTACACGGTTTGAATCCACCAGATGCTCTGCCAGAGAAGGAGGAACAATATCCTCCTGTACCAGTCAGATCTGATTTGACGGTACACACACACAAAACAATAAAAATAAAATAAAAAAACAATAATGTTTGGGGTTTTTTGCCTTATTTCCTCAGAAGACTGTCTTTGTCCCTTTAAACAAGACTCCACAGGCTTGGAGAAGTACCAACTGTAGTCCAATCTCCAGCCCTCCCCTACGTCACCAGCTTACCTTTGAGCACTTCACTGATAGACTGATTGAAGTAGTCTACTCTTGAGGAGTCACTGAAAAGGTTTCCACTTTCTTCTATAGGCATGCCATGACCCGCCAGGTAGATTGGAACTTTTCCTCTTGTGTATTCTAGGGACACAAACTTCAATAGCCTTCTGATACCCCAGGGCACCAGACGAATCCACTGAGATGAGGTCTGAGGCCATGCAGGGTCAACATGTTGGGAGAAGCCTCCGATGGAATCATAGCTAGGCACGCAGGTATTGTCTTGGGCTTCACTGACGAGGCGAGAGGTGTAATGGGACAGGCCCAGGAAGTCAGCCGATCCTTTCAGCAATTGCTTCTCTGCCTCAGTAAACTCGGGGAGCTGGACCACAGGCCTGGAGCACCGCTTGTTCACCTGTTGGATCTGAGTTTTCAGGGCAGCTGGGTAGTCACCATCCACAAAGATGGGGTGAGCAAACCAGCCCAGCATGAACTGCAAGAAACGCTCGGAGGCCTCCAGGTCCTCAGGCTTCTCTGGGGACAGGGGCTCTGCCCAGTCCGAGTTCAGCACTATGCCCACACGTCCTTGCTGCTGCAGGCGATGATGCCTGTCATAGTGGTGCCAAGCTCTGGCATGAGCCTTGAGGACCAGATGAGCTACCTTGTTAGGAAGAAAAAGAGAAACAGTGCTGAATAACAACAACAACCACATTGACAACATCAAGAAGTCAACAAGGTGACACCAACAATTAACACTGATAGCAGCTTTAACAAATCAACACCAATGTAAACAGCCATCAGCCAACAAGTCAACATCAATAAGTTAATGCCCATGTCAACAAGTCTAGGACACTGATGTCAAAATCTACACCTTGGTTGATAAGTTGATAATGTCAACAACATCAACACATCGATGATTCTATCAACAAGGTTGACCAACAGGCATTGAGCACTTGTAGCTCATTCTCAATCCTCACAAGTTTACATGACAGGTGCAATTACTATTACCACCTTATAGACTAAGAAAACAAGACCCAGAGAGGTATGCTACCTTGCTAAACATGATCAGTAAGGGGTGGAGCAAGAATACAAAACAAAGGCGGTCTGCTCAGGCCTGGACAGGCACCCACAGTGCTATTCTCTACTGACCATGAACAGAATATGCTTTAACCCACAAGGGCAAGGATCATGTAGCTAGCCTATTTGTTCTCTTTTCTACTTAAGGAAATCTAAGAAGAAAAGCCATAACCAGAAACTCCTTTGTAGTCTTAATTTGTGGTCAGAGAAGAGTCAGAAAGTTTCCTTGGTGAACACAGTGAGGAAGACGGGACATCTGGAGTACAACAAGAATAGCTCTGAACTGTGGCTCTGCTACTAACTGGCTGTGTCAATTCAGTGTCAATCTTCTCTCTCAACTTCAGCTTCTTTATCTAAAAGAAGGGGAGAATTATGGATCCATCTGGAAGGATAAGATGACATGCATGTAAAAAAAGCACCCAACAAAAATCTGGAGGACAGAGGGAAGCAGAATACAGAAGAATACAGACAGAAACTTGCTGAATCTCATGCCCTCTCCTCTTCCTTTTTATTATCTGAAGACACTGACTTTTGAAGAATTTCATACCAAATTAGGCCCAAGAGTCCTGTGTCTCAAATGTTAGCTCTCAATTGCACCTAAAGCTCCAATGACGAACCAAGCTCCTTTCAGTAAAGCCTTTCTTCAAAACAATCAGAACCAGGCAGGGTACTCACCCATCTGAAACAATCCCTGTGACCTGTGACCATGGACCAACATGGAAAATAGTTAGCACCGTGAAGTCACGTGGAAAATGAGTGCCAGACAGTGTCACTGTGACCCTCCGTGAACAGAAGGATAAGACTGGAGGAGGATGTGAGTAGGCTTATGAGAGGAATCTTTCCAAGTAATAAATTAAAACAAAGGCTGATGCAGCAAAGTGGAGGAACATTCAGAGCACATATCGACAGTCCCAGGAATTAACTATCTAGCCACATGCGTGTGTTATATAGCACCTGGCTGAGCCCACTTTCATACTGTTCCCCAAGGGGAGAAAATGGGGCTCTCCGCTTGCAGCATGAGGGGTGCATTCCAACTATGCCCCCAGATGGGCTGCTAGCTAAGACATCTGCTCAGTAAGCAGGGGGACAGATTTCAGCGTCATCACTAGCTTGCTGTCTCTTCTCTACTCAGGACTTTGAACTGGTTCATTCTGGCTCCACTTTCGGCTGAGAATTTCCATTTCTACCCCAGATCTAATGAGCTAAAAATCTACATTTTTAGCAGGTTTCCTGATGATTCTTACAGGTCCCTGGGTGGTGATTCTTACGTATGTGTGCTGGGGATCTTGGGTCCTGCATTCTCCTTTGCTGCAGATGGCCAGAGACCAACAGCTGTATCTTAAATGGCTACCAGCAAGCCTTGTAAACACCAAACTAGGATGGGGAATGTTTTCTCTGTTCATTATGTCACGCCCATTGATCTAGATGTCTCGAGACTGGTCCACAGCCTTCAAGTCCAGTAACTTGAGTCCCACAGGTGATCTGCATATATGTGTGCTATTCCTTAAAAAAGGACATAATGTTCAGAAGGGTGGAAGGTCAGTGAAAGAAAGAAGACTCAACGAGAGGGACACAGTGACTGCAGCAATGGGCTCAAGTATGTCAGAGATGATGAGGATGGCACAGGATAGGTCAGGGTTCAACAACAACATGAGGTTTCCATGAACTCCAGTGCCTAGTGGGTAAGAAGTTGCCAACTTGAAGGCTTCTGCTCCAAGGCAGAAAGATGGGCAACCTCTGCTCGTACAAATTTCAGCCCTTGAAATCCCTCTGGAGGGTAAACTATGAGTTGATTCCAGCTCAACAGCACATAACAACCTGAGGTTTCCATGACTGTGTCCCCTGTGTACTGTATTATATATATAGCAGTGTATACAAATAATGTATATACAGATGCCAATTACTGTATGTATATATACACGGACACATAGTGAATCATGTTTTTCTCAGAGACCTGTCACCTGCAAACTGTGAAGTGGGTTACCATCCCCAATGTGACGGGGCTTGTCTGCTGGCGGCTGTAACAAGTGTCACTTGTTCGTCAAGAATGGAATCCCAACTGTGCCAAAGAAGGGCCAGCTGCGACATCCCTTCTACAGAATGTTCTCAGGGGAAGCTGAGGAGTCTTTGAGAGACTTGGAAGAAAAAGGAAATACTGGAAAGGGCCCTTGTTAAGTCATTTTCATCCTTTTCCCTTCTCATCCACATCCCTTCTTGTTACAGTAGCGCACGGACTGTGCTAGGTCTGCAGCCCGCTCAGAACCTCCCACTGGACGTGCTGGAGTGGAGCCAGCTTGCTCTCCGGCTGGGCTGGACACGAGGAGGTGGGAATGCAGCCGTCTGGCAACCAAGGAGTCTGAGGAGAAACTCGGATGAGGAGAGCGAGGTGGAGACAGACTGAATCAGGAGATACTCCAATTAAACCCCACTCTGTTTAACCTACAACTAAGATTCGTCAATGTCCTGAGCTCATACATTCTGTCCTTTCTTCTTCTTTTCTCATCATGTCTCCTTTCTTCCACAGGTTTCGGGTGGGTTTTCTGTCACCTGCAACTAAGAATCCCCACTGACACGTGGCGTTTATGTGGTATAGATGGGGTCCGACCCTGACGTAAGCCAAGTCACCACAGTGCCACACGCCCTCCTGCCCAACTGTTTATCTCCTCAGAGCTCGGGTTCTCTCCCTGACAAGTGATATTCTGGAGTCACAGTGCGTGCAACACATGCACTTCACACACACACACACACACACACACACACACACACACACACACACAC